GTGACTTCTCCATAGAACTAACTGGTGCCAGAGCGGGGGCTCATACCCTGCGTACCAGCTTCCCAACTTGGGGCCCTTTTCTTTCCACACCCTGCACACACGTTCTGCAGTTCGACCAGGCAGCCAAGCCACTGCTTAGGTTGCTTTAAATAATGATTTAATGGGCACATCAAGAATGCGAGGATTAGCTTCCCTAGTCACAGAAGAAGCAACTGAGGCTCAGAGAGTTTAAGCAACTTGCTCCAAGGTCACACAGCCTACCAGTGGCAGAGCTGGGATTTGAACCCAAGGGTTAGCGTTTCATTCCTAACCCTTGGTACTTACCCTGCCTACAGTGGAAAGAGGCCTCAGACACCAGCTGGCCCTGTTCCTCCTAGGAGGGAGGCTGGAGGTGATACAGCAGCTGAGGATGGAAGGTCCAGGGAAAATGTGAATCCAGACATCAGGCGGTGACCCTCCAGGCCTCTGGGTGGTGAATGGCCGTGAGAAGCAGGCTTGGGATGGGATCCTTCAGCCCCACGGGGCAGACCCATGGGGACGGGGTTTCAGTGACGACCAACAGACATTTGAGAGAGGAATTATAGAGGAACTTTAGTGATAATCTTTTGCCCTAATTCTGTAAATTATTCACTCTTTCCTGAAAGGAGTGGAGGTAGCCTATAGTATGAATTAGGAAGTTGAAATAAAAGCAAAGCATTTTATTTCAGAAGCCACTAAAAGGAGCAATAAGTGAACCAACCTTCAGTGACCCTGCATTGCATTGAGCTCTGAGCTTCCTGGCAGCAGAGGAAAAAGGAAACAGAAATGTGTCTGAAGAAGCTTCCTTTTTTCCCTGAGAGATGTTTGTTCATTCATTCAATAAGACAATTTTATTTATTTATTTTTAAAGATTGTATGTATTTATTTTTAGAGAGAAGGGAAAGGAGGAAGAAAGAGAGGGAGAGAAACATCCGTGCGTGAGATATTCACAGACCGGTTGTCTCTCGCATGTCCCCAGCTGGGGACCTGGCCCACAACCCAGGCATGTGCCCTGACCAACCAGAGACCTTTCAGTTCACAGGCCGGCACTCAATCCACTGAGCCATACCAGCCGAGGCTCAGGAAGGCAATTTTAAAATATTGAATTTTTCCTGATTGGTGCCAGGCCCCGTGCTCAAGGGCTGGAGATCCCAGGAGTGCATTAAAGAACCAGTTTGGAAAAACCCCCTTTGGCAGCCCTTTGCATGTCTCCCCATAGTTCTCCTGACATCAACAAACTTCTCCTGCGATTGTTATCACCAGAGAGACTTTGAGTCGCTTTCCCCACATGCTGTCCTACCTGCCAAATCCATTTCAGGTAGGACTGTCCTGGTGGTCTGTTCACAAGGTCAAAGAGCCTGGATGTGTGTGCCAGCCTCCTAGGCCATGCCTTAGCTGTGCCGCGGTGGTCCCCATCTTTTTCTGCAAGTCTGGTTGCTTGGGTCAGGAGCAGTCTGGTGAGAAGCTCACGGTCAAGCTTAGTGTGAAGGAGGACTGGGACCGATGAGCAATGTCTGCCCTGGACTTGGGAATGAGGAGTGGTGGCTCGGGGGCCATCCAATGGCCTCACTTTTCTGGGCTGAGTTGCATTTCCATAAGGTCTGCTTTGCTTAGCTCAGGCCCCCCTCACGAAAAGATCTTCACCAACGATCTCATGTGGGCTATTTTTGGTATAAAGGACAGTAGAATACAAAGAGGTGTCCACTCCCTGACCCAGATTCTAGTCTCAAAATTAGAATCTCACAGTCCAGGAAGCAAAATGAGAAATGGGCACAAATAATAGAAGGTAGATAGTGATCTGTGTAGTAGGACTCAGTGAATTTCATCCACCTGGAGAGGTAAGAACAAACCAGAGAATGCTTCCTGGAGGAGGTGGCTTTTCACATAGGCCCTGAAAAAAAAGTAGCTAAGATTTGGGCAAAGGAACATAGTCTACAACTCCAAACTCCAGCAAACTTCCTTGCAACTGCAACCAAGTGCTACCAAGCACAGAAGGCGACTAGGAAAAGAAATGTAGAATGAAGGCCCTGTGACACACCTCTCATGGCTGGACATAGTGCCAAGAGCCCAGCCTTCTAGGAAGCAGGTCAGGAGGGTCACCTTGGTCTATTACTGATGGACTGTTCATGCAGGTCAAATGGGTTTTTTTACTTTTTAATTTTTTTAGATTTTTATTTATTTATTTTTAGAGAAAGGGGAAGGGAGGGAAAAAGAGAAGGAGAGAAACATCAATGTGTGGTTGCCTCTCACATGCCCCAAACTGGGGACCTGGTCTGCAACTCAGACATGTGCCCTGACTGGGAATCAAACCAGCAACCCTTTGGTTCCCAGGCTGGGACTTAATCCACTGAGTCACACCAGCCAGGGCAAACAGGTTTTTTTTAAATGTGATGGTTCAGCCTTCATGGAGGTTAAATGTCCACCGAGGATAAGTGGAGATCTTTCCATCTCTCTGAGCTCTCAGGCAAAGGTCAGACAAGACTCAAGCACAGAATCCTGTAAGAATCCTATAAACTGACTGTTGAGGATTTCCTGCCTTTCATTAGACATGTACTATAAGCCAGGCAGAATGCCATGAATTCAGCAAACATGTAGCACTTTATCTGCACGACACTGTGATATGGGTAGCATTTCTCCAGGTTCACAGATGAATGAAACAGGTGAAGTAACTTGCCCACCGTCATACTTCCCATAAAGTACAGACCTGATTTGAATCCAGAGAGGTCTGGTTGCAAAGCCATTGGAATCCAACACAGTGAGATTCCTGGAGGAGACCTAAGAAATCACTCAGTCAACCCACCTGCTTTAAACTGCTTTAAAAAGAGAGACTTCTAGTCAAGATGGAGGTATAGGTAGATACACATGCCTTCTTGTACAACCAAAAGAAGGACAACAACAAATTTAAAAACAAAAAATAACCAGAACTGCCAGAAAATCGAACTGTATGGAAGTATGACAACCAAGGAGTTACAGAGGAAACTTTTATCCAGACCAGTAGGAGGGGCAGAGATGGGCACCCGGGGTGGAGAGGACCCACAGCAAGGCAGCAGTTGGTGGACCGGGCAAGACAGCAGCTGGCGGAGTGAGTGGTCCCACATTTAGTTGCAGATAAACTGGGAGGAACAACAGGGGAGCTAGACAGACCGTGCAATCCAGGTTTCCGGCATGGGGAAATAAAGCCTCAAAACCTCTGCCTGTAAAAATATGTGGGGGTTGAAGCAGCAGGAGAAACTCCCAGCCTCACAGGGGAGTTTGTTGGAGAGACCCAGAGGGTCCTACAACGTACACAAACCAACTCACCTGGTAATCAGCACCAGAAGAGCCCAATTTGCTTGCGGGTAGCAGAGGAAGTGACTAAAAGCTGGCAGACAGCTGAACAAGCAGCATTATTCCCTCTCGGACCCCTCCCCCCACATATAGCACCACAACACAGTGATGTGGGTTTCCCCACCCTGGGGAATACTTAAGACTCTGCCCTTACTAGGTAACAGGCGAGCCAAGACAAAGAAATATGGCCCAAGTGAAAGAACGGATCAAACTCCAGAAAAAATACAACTAAGTGATGAAGAGATAACCAGCCTATCAGATGCAGAGTTCAAAACACTGGTAATCAGGATGCTCACAGAAATGGTGGTGTGTGGTCACAAAATAGAGGGAAAAAGTGAAGGCTATGCAAAGTGAAATAAAGGAAAATGTACAGGGAACTGACAGTGAAGGGCAGGAAACCAGGACTCAAATCAACAGTTTGGAGCAGAAGGAAGAAATAAACATTCAGAACAGAATGAAGAAATAAGAATTCAAAAAAATGAGGAGAGGCTTAAAAACCTCCAGGACATCTTTAAATGTTCCAACATCCGAATCATAGGGGTGTCAGAAGGGGAAGAACAGTAGCAAGAAGTTGAAAACTTATTTAAAAACAAAATGAAGGAGAATTTCCCCAATCTGGTAAAGGAAACAGACTTCCAGGAAGTCCAGGAAGCTCAGAGAGTCCCAAAGAAGTTGGACCCAAGGAGGAACACACCAAGACACATCATAATTACATTACCTAAGATTAAAGATAAAGAAAGAATCTTTTTTCTAAAGATTTTATTTATTTATTTTTAGACAGAAGGGAAGGGAAGGAGAAAGAGAGGAAGAGAAACATCAGCGTGTGGTTGCCTCTCACGTGGCCCCCACTGGGGACCTGGCCCACAACCCAGGCACGTGCCCTGACTAGGAATCGAAATGGTGACCCTTTGGTTTGCAGCCCATGCTCAATCCACTGAGCTACACTAGCCAGGGCTAAAGAAAGAATCTTAAAAGCAGCAAGAGCAAAGGAGACAGTTAACTACAAAGGAGTTCCCATTAGACTATCAGCTGATTTCTCAAAAGAAATCTTGCAGGCAAGAAGGTGCTGGAAAGAAGTATTCCAAGTCATGAAAGGCAAGGACCTACATCCAAGATTACTCTATCCAGCAAAGCTATCATTTTGAATGGAAGGGCAAATAAAATACTTCCCAGAAAAGGTCAAGTTAAAGGAGTTCATCATTATCAAGCCCTTATTATATGAAATGTTAAAGGGGCTTATCTAAAAAAAAAGAAGATCAAAAATACAAACAATAAAATGACAACAAACTCACAACTATCAACAACTGAACCTAAAATTAAAAAAATATAAACTAAGCAAACAACTAGAACATGAACAGAATCACAGAAATGGAGATCACATGGAGGGTTGTCAGCGGGGAGGGGGAGTAGTGAGAATGCAGGAAAAGGTACAGGGAATAAGAAAAACAAATGGTAGGTGCAAAATAGACAGGGGGAGGGTAAGAACAGTATGGGAAATGGAGAAGCCAAATAACTTATATGTATGACCCATGGACATGAACTAAGGTGGGGGAGGTGGGGTACAGGGCCGAGGGGAATAAAGCAGAGAAAAAAAACAGGACAACTGTAATAACATGATCAATAAAATGTATTTAAAAATTTTTTAAAATAAACAGGAGAAAAGAAAGACCCAGAGAGGTGAAGGGACCTGCCCAAAGTCACTCCGTAGCAGAACAGGGACTGAAAAGCCGGCCTCCGCATTCACCGTCAGAGGTAAAAATAATGGCTCTTGGCCTTGAACCTCAGCTTCCTGTTGCAGCTGTATAGTAGCCTCCAGGGAAGGGACATGTTCCTTCTCACCTAACATGTCCCCGGTGCCTTCAGGCTTTAAACATAGTAGTAATGGTGGGGCCACCTGTGAGTGCGGCGTTGTTTTACTTCACAGTTTCACTTCAGGTCAGAAAAAACCCCAGTGCCCCTTTCTCTGAGCGGTTTCCACAGCCCTCCAAGTTCCCTTCGCAGACACCCAGCCCGAGTCAGGTCTCCGGGCGACGTCCCTGAACACCCATAGCAGTGTGGACCCCTTGTCTGGGAGAGGAGCGTCCGGTAGAACTGTGGCATTTTTCTTAGGTGGGGAAAGCGCTTGGTTGGTAAGTTGGTTGATTCTCTCTGAATCTTACACTTGTAGGGTATCAGGTCACAGAATGTTCCTGCATGCCTCAGTGGCTCTTAATATTTGGCCCTGCAGTGCCGTGGCACACTGATGAAAATGCCTGAGCCCTTTCCACCTAACAAATGCACGGAAATAAAGTCTTACATGCACTTTGGAAGAGACTGCCGTCCCGTCGCAGCCTACCTGTGCACTGGGTTACAAAGCCTTGGTGGAAGAACAGGACAGGTATTGTCATTGTCATTTCACAAATGAGAAAGGGGACTGAGAAAGTTGAAGGGACTTGCCCAAAGTCACGTGACAAGGCCGAGGCGGAACGAGAGCAACCGCGCAGGGCAGCACACAGCCAGTCCCTCTCCGTGCTGGGCATTCAGAGGGGGCTTTGCCCTGAGGAAGACTCTGTCTAGAAGCCAGATGCTCTGACCCCAGAAGCATGTCTGTCTGTCTGCCCAGAGGCAAGGCAGGCAGGGAGCTGGTTTTCTTGTGGCTCTGTGCATTCTGTTGTTGTCTGATGTTGTCTTTTTAGGACCTCCATCCAAATGCCCGGATTTTGTGCCCTGACCTCATTTGGACAATAGCCACAGATTGGTGGCCATGCCAGGGCTGGGGGAGGCACAAACATGGCCGCCCCCACCCCAGGCATCCCTGTTCTAGGCTGGACTCTGCACGAGTAAGCCATTCTCTGATGGGGGGAGGGGCTGTTTTCTAAGGGGAATATGAGAAGAGGGTTGGGGCAGAGGAGGGCAGCAGGGGTGCGGGGAGGAAGCTTCCAGAAGTGTCGGGGTGAAAGTGTGGGAGCTGAGAAAGGCTTACAAGCCTGTCACTCATCCGTGACCAGGGCTGAGAACTCAGTAGCTGTGTTTCCTGTGTCAGGTCAGGTGTGATCTTGCCAGCATTTAGCAAAGAACTTTCGTCTCAGGGAAATGGGCCCTGTCAGCTTGTCTGGGTAAGGTCATCTCCGCGCTTCCTGCGCAAGAGTTCTGTCTTGTGACTTAGGGGCTGTGGAATCTGGTTCCAGCTCTGCCGCTAATTCATCCCCATCGTTGGACTGTTTTCTCAGTGGTACAGTGATGGAGTTGGATTAAATCAGAGGTTTTCCATCTGTTTCTTGGAGCCTGAGAGCTCCACAAAGAAACCTGCCTGGGCTGCCTTCAAGACAGCACAGAGGTGACATGGACTCAGATGTCACCTGATTCATAAACTGGGGTTCCACCAAGTGTAAAAAGCATTCTGCTCTTGCCGTGGTCAATGTGGCTCAGTTGGTTGGAGCATCATCCCATAGACCAAAAGGTTGTGGGTTCAATTCCTGGACAGGGCACATTCCCAGGTTGCTGGTTCCATCCCCAGCCGGGGTGCGTACAAGGGGCAGCTGATTGATATCTCTCTCTCTCTCTCTCTCTCTCAGCAATGAACACATGTCCTTGCTAAGGATAAAATTTTTTTCTAGTTTTAAAAAAGCTCTCTCTAAAATTAAAAAAGCAAACAAGCTGGGTTATAATAAGGGCTGCTGTTTAGCCAGCACTTTGATGCACCAGGTATGTCATTCTTAAGCTCACGGAGAAGGTGCACTATCCCATTTAAAGATGTTCCTGTTAAAAATAATAGGTGCTTCTATGTATTATATTAATTTACTTACATTTTCACAAAAACCCATTTTACAGGTGAGAAATGGGGGAAAACAAGGCATTCGGTGTATGTTGAACAAGGCCACCCGGCTGAGATGTGAGCCTGCAGTGTGCTCCCAGCCCCATACGTGCTCACTCGGGGTCTGCTCCATTTGAGACAGCCCCTTCCAGCTAAATGGTTGCCGCGCATTGCACAGTTACTGCGCGCGCACTGTGCAGCGGGGTTTGTACAGGGCTCCGAAGACCCAGACACAGCGAAGGCTCAGTCCCCGACCTTGGCAAGCTGCGTGGCCTCTGCCAAGCGGTTTAACACCTCTCAGCCTCTGTTATGAAACGACAGTAACCACAGTTCTTATGTCACAGAGTTGTGTGGATGGTGTTTGACTGTGGCTGTGAGAAAATAGTCTGTAGAATTTAAATTACGTACACATGTTGGTCAGTGCAATCATCAGTCTGGTTGGAGACGAGACTAATTGATACAGAACCAGCTACGAGATATGCAGATAAGGCTGGGAGCTTGTGGTGTGACCGGGATCAGGAAAGACTTCCCTGGACAAAAGAGGGGCCCAGAAGGAAGGTGGGGAAGGAAGGTGAGTGCGGGAAAGGAACCTTGGGGCAAAGGTGCAGGAAAGCAGACTACCTGGGGACTGGCAAGGCGCCAGGCGAGCGGACTGCGGCTGCCCGCAGCGGCTGCGGAGGGATTTGTTCTGCCCCGGCTGTCGGTGGCGGCGATGTCCTATAAAGATGGAACACGAGACCATGTCATTTAAGGTTTTCCAGTAACCGCATTAAAAAATAAATAAAAAGAAACAGGCAAGATAAATATTTAGCCCAGTGTATCCAAAATATCATCACTGTGACTTGTAATCAATATAAAACATTATGAATGAGATATTTTACACTGCCTTTTCCATACTGTCTTTGAGATCTGATGTGTATTTTACGCTTAAGGCACATCTCATTGCAGACCGGCCACCTTGACAGCGGTGGCTACAGACAGAACTGGAGTCGAATCCCAGCGTCCAGGCTGAAATAACCAGGCCATCCTGGGCCAGGTCCAAGCGAGGACTAGCTGTCCCCAGGGTCAGGCTCTCATCTAAATATATTTTGTCTATTCATTCACTTAATCCTCCTGAACTGTCTGTAAAAGCGGGTTATCCCCATCTTACAGAGAGGGGGCCCATAGAGCTCCCTGTTCCGGAGCCGCCTTCCTCCCTAGGATGAGGGTAAGCACACCCCGGAGGCCCGAGTGAGGGGAGACTTGAAAACGCTGTGAAGGTCCCCTCACCACACACACCATGAAGCCACCATTGAGGAAGCCACAGGTCTCTCCGGCCCCAACTTCCCCTCCCTGAGCACTCGAGCCAGACAAGGTACAAAATTTAAGTGGGCACCAAAGTAATTACAATAAATTCTGGTTTGCGTGTCAATAAAAGATTCAAACTTTATTAAATAAAGTTGTGAGGTTTTCAAAAATATTTTATTTACTTACTCTTTAGAGAAGGGAAAGGAGGGAGAGGGGGAGAAAATCATCGATGTGCAAGAGATACACATCGATTGATTGCCTCTCACGCGTCCCCAGCTGAGGATCTGGCCTGCAACCCAGGCAGGTGCTCTGACTGGGAATCGAACTAGTGACCTTTCAGTTCACAGGCCAGCACTCAGCCCAGCCCACTGAGCCACACCAGCCAGGGCAAATGTTCAAATTTTATACATCCTGTTAATTAGTATAATGCCTGCTTAATCTGTCAACTTCTGAGGATGGAATGCTAAAATTACTCAAAATTCAGTTTCACTGCAGTTCGACTTCACAAACATTTATCGAGTTGCTGTTGTGTACCAGGTACTATTCTAAGCCCTTATATCCGTGGAGAAGGAGTCAGCTCGTTCACCTTATAGAACTTAAATTCCAGGGGAACAAACAGACAATGAACAATAAACATAATAAATAGGTAAATTATGTAGGGTAAATTATATATTAGAAAGTGATAAATGCTATGAAAAAAAAAAAGAGTGAAGGGGACCACAGGAGCAGGAGGGTGGTAAGCTGCAGTATTTAATAGTGCGGTAGGGTAGATCAGAGAGGTAAACCTTGAGCCCCAACTGAAGAAGGGAAGAGACTGACCTGAGCACGTGTCTAGGGAAAGAGTCCAGGCAGAGGGAACAGCCAGTGCAAGGGCTCTGCGGTAGGAGTTTGGATCCGTCAGAAGGCCAGCGTGGCTCACCTGCCTGACCAGGGGAAACGTGGTAGCACGGGGATCAGAGAGGTGATGGGGCCAGAACACATGAAACCTTCTAGACCACTGTGAGTACTTTGGATTTTACCCTGAATGGAATGGGACCTGTGCAGGGTTGGGACAGTGGTAGGATCTGACCCATTTTTAAAGGATCACTTTGGCTATTGTGTGAAATTAGGCTCAAGATGGGTCTGGCCAAAGGCAGGGAGCCCAGTTAATATGGCAGGCAACTGGGTAAGAGACAATGCCTGATTTTGAAAAGCCTGAATTAGATCAACACCTTGATTCACTTCCTAAATAAAGCCTCAACTCTGTTCATCTCTCTCTCGGCTTGTGTTACTGTCATTCACAATTTTACTCCCACTTTGTTTTTTTTTTAAAGATTTTATTTATTTATTTTTAGAGAGAGGGGAAGGGAGGGAGAAAGAAAGGGAGAGAAACATTGATGTGTGAGAGATACCTCCATCAGTTGCCTCTCATATGCCCCCTGCCGGGGACCTGGCCCACAACCCAGGCACGTGCCCTGACCGGGAATCAAACCTGCAACCTTTTCGTCCGTAGGGTGGCGCTCAACTCACTGAGCCACTCAGTGAGCCAGGGCTCCACTTTGTTTTTATACCCTCCAAATCAGTCAGTTATTATTATTATGGCCTTATACACACATTTTTAAATTTCCTTATATATTTATCAACTTACTTGTTCACAATTTGTTCTTGCCTTTCTGTTCTTCCCTCTGTGAAGAATTTCCCTCTCCTGATGACGTATCTTATAGATAGTCCTTCAGCTAAGGCCTCTTAGTGGACAATTCTATTTCTTTTTTTAAATATAGAATCTATATTATATTTTTTCCATTACCATGTAGTCCCCAATTCTATTTCTATTCCTTTATTCTGAGTGATAGTTTAGGTTTTTTCCCCTTATCTTCTGGCAACTATTGTTGCTATTGGGAAATCTGCTTCTAAATGTAATTATGATTCCTTTGCAGGTATGGCATCTTTCTGATTGCCTTTAATTTTTTCTCTTTGTCTTTGGTACTCTGGAGTTTTATTATGATATCTGTAAGTGATCTGTAAGTGTAGAATTACTTTGTTTTCAAAATTCTGCTTGGAGTTAACTGGTTGCTGAATCTGAAGAGTCACATCCAGGAGAATTCTGGACAATGCTCCACAACCGTCTCTTTGATTACTGCCTCCCCAGTGCCCGCCGCCAGTTCTGTGATTCCCTTTTGAAACTCCAGCTGGATCTATTTAAACTTTTCATTCAATCCTTCATTTCAAGTTTTCCCTCTCTTCACCTCTTTGTGCTGCATCCTGAGAAATCCCTTTGGATCTGCCTTCCAGATCAATGCCTTTCAACCAACGTTTGGTGCTCTTTAACCTGCCCTTAAGGGTTTCCTTTTTCAATGACTTTGTTTTTCACTTCCAACGTTAAACTTGATTCTTTTTCACGTCTGCCCAGTCACTCATTATGTATTCAAGTTTTTGATTCCTTACTGTTTAATAATATTAAACATTTTTAAAAGATTTTATTTATTTAGGCCCTGGATGGTGTGACTCAGTGGATTGGGTGCCGGCCTATGAACTGAAAGATTTTATTTGTTTTTAGAGATGGAGAGAGGGAGACATCCATGTGTGAGTGCCTCTCGCACGCCCCCTACTGGGCACCTGGCCTGCAAGCAGGCATGTGCTCTGACTGGGAATCCAACTGCAAACCCTTTGGTTTGCAGGTCAGCACTCAATCCACTGAGCCACACCGGCCAGGTCTAATATTAAACATTTTGATAACCTATACCCAAGAATTATATGAAGTTCCTGGGAGTCTAATTCTACTGTCTGATATTTCTGCTAATTCTCGTTCATGTTTCCTTATGCGTTTTGTAATTTTGCATTGTGAGCTCAAATTCCATAGGCCTTTATATAGGGTCTTTATGTATATATTGTGGAAATCTTGTGTGACCTGGATAGAAATTATATTCCTCTAGAGAAATGTCGAGTTTGTTTTGTAATAATGATATCTAATAATGTCCCATATAATATTTGGGTGATTTATTTTTTCTCAATATTTAGAATATACTTATACTAAAAAATGACTCATTACCTAACATTCAAATTTATCCGGACTCCTGTACTTTATCTGGCAACCCTACTGGTGCGAAGCCAAAGTCTTGTCTCCCATCTCTAAATAGTCGTTTAAACTTTAGCCACTTACTTACCAAAAGTGGCAAACAAAAAAACAAAACACCAGTGCAAAAAAGCAACAACAAAACCCCTCCACCGTATCCTTCTAGAGTTCATTTTTTCTTGGTTTTGATTTCCTCTTGATTTTTGACCATTGGAAATTTACCTTACTTTCAGAGGGAAGTCTGAGGATTAGTCTTTTTGAAAACAAAAGGCCGAAAAGTTTGCAGGCCACTTCTGCTTCTTGAGTTCCCACACACCTCTCCTAAGGCAACCAGTACAGACCTAGTGCCCCGTTAGAATGGAGAAAAGGCGAGACAGAGAGGAACAAAATACAAATTGCTATTTTAACACATCCATCTCCACAGATAAAAGGTTGGCTAGGGTCAGTGATCCTGTGAGGTCCTAATTGTGCCGGCTGAAAAAAACTCATTTCTTCTTCTTGTTGTACCCCAGTAAAGACTCCTTGGCAAGCCCAGCAGAATCTGAAGGACTCGCTCCATGGAGAGCTGCTCAGCGACGAAGGCAGCCAACAGCTCCAAGAACGGCTCGGACTTCAACCCCATGAAGGATTACATGATTCTGAGCAGACAGCAACAGATCGCCGTCGCGGTGCTGTGCACCCCCCTGGGCCTGCTGAGCGCCCTGGAGAACCTGGCTGTGCTCTACCTGATCCTGTCCTCCCGCCGGCTCCGCAGGAAGCCCTCATACCTGTTCATTAGCAGTTTGGCTGGGGCTGACTTCCTGGCCAGTGTGGTCTTTGCCTGTAACTTTGTGAATTTCCACGTCTTTCAAGGCATGGATTCCAAGGCTGTCTTTCTGCTGAAGATCGGGAGCGTGACCATGACCTTCACAGCCTCTGTAGGCAGCCTGCTGCTGACCGCCATTGACCGCTACTTCTGTCTGCATGACCCACCTGCATACAAAGCCCTAGTCACCCGTGGGAGGGCACTGGTGACCCTGGGCATCATGTGGGTCTTCTCAGCACTGGTCTCCTACCTGCCCCTCATGGGGTGGACTTGCTGTCCCAGTCCCTGCTCTGAGCTTTTCCCTCTGATCCCCAATAACTATCTGCTGGGCTGGCTCCTGTTCATCGCCTTCCTCTTCTCTGGCATCTTCTATACCTATGGGCACGTCCTCTGGAAGGCCCATCATCACGTAGCCAGCCTGGCTGAGCACCAGGATAGGCAGGGGTCAAGAATGGATGGGATGAGGCTGGATATGAGATTGGCCAAGACGCTGGGGGTGGTGCTGGCCGTTCTTTTCATATGCTGGTTCCCAGCACTAACCCTCATGGCCTACAGTCTGGCCAGCACTCTAAGTGACGAGGTCAAGAAGGTCTTTGCCTTTTGTTCCTTGCTTTGCCTTGTCAACTCCCTGGTCAACCCCATCATCTATGCCCTGCGGAGTAAGGAGATCCGTTCCTCTGCCTGCCACTGCCTGGCCTACTGGAAGAAGCACCTGACAGGCCACAGGATGGAAGAAAAAGAGGTCTCAAGGTACTCAGTCACTGACACAGAGGCTGATATGAAAAACACCCCGTGGTCAGATTCTAGGGTTCTGTCTTCTCTGGTTGCTGATGAGGCCTCTTTCATAGTTTTGAACAAATCAGGTCAGAAATCATTTCACTCCCTGGAAGAGAGAGAGCAGTCTTAACCCTCTCATCTCACTGGAACCAGTCCCAGAGGCCTGAACACTTAAACTTCTTTGCTGGTGAGTGTTGGCACCAACCCCTGGAGGGTAGCCTGGTCATGCCTGTCTGTGCACAGTCTGCTGGACAGCTATGTCCTGTGAGGAGTGGCTCGGTGGACAGGAGGACAGACGCCTGGTACAGGCTCAGTGCACATCAGGTCAGGAAAGTCTTCTCAACAAGATGGCCGAGTGCCCACATTCTCCAGAGACCACAAGACCCAGAGGGAGCCTTGAAGCTCAGCAATGAGGGGCTCGGAGAAAATTTGAGAAGAATGGCTTATTCTCCTGGGATCTCAGGGTATGGATGGATGGATGGCCAGCTCTTGTTCCTGCTTAGTTGTCGGGGCCTTCTTGGTTGTGGGTCACCCTTGTCCACCGGGGACCTTTTTAGGTCACCCTACCCTACTGAGGACCAAAAACCGTGATGTGATGAAAACTACGGGTGTTGGTCCACCTCGTTCAGAAGTAACCGATAGCCCTCCAGTTAAAGGCGTCTTGTTATTAGGGTGATCGCCCTTCTCGACCACTGATAATCCCCACTCACAGCTGTGTGACCCCTTAGGTCTCTGGGGAATATGGAGGCTGGGATCACTGTAGACAGAATCTTCAGAGAATGTTATTGGCCATGTGAAGTGCTATTTGGTGGCACCACTGGAAGCAGGCAATGTCCCAGTCTAACCCACCTCCAAGAAAAGGAAGACATTCACAAAGATTTTATACATCCCTCAACTCACTCTCATTTCAAGCCTTTTGTCTCCTCCATGCCTCTAGGACAAATAAGAAACAGAGCAAGGAGGAAGGGGGGGAGTTCCTTTACTATGTGCTAAGCACAGGGCTGACAGCCCATGCTCCATTATCTCCAGAAAGATTACAGCCCCAGTGCTTTTGAAGATCCCAGGACACTGTATTTTACATATCAGGGAGGCCTCAAAACAGTAGGCAAGAGAAATTGTTGGTGGCGGCCAGATTGCGGGAATTCTAATGCAATTATTTGGGACCAAAGACAGAATAAAAAGAAAGAAATGATTAAATACATCTTCATTTAATACTTTGTAAGACAAGGTGTCCACTATTCATTCACTCTTTCCCCCATCTCCTAAATGCACGCCAGGGTGTGTGCCAGGTCCTGGGTGTTCATGAATAAGACTCTGCCCCTGTCTCATGGGGTTGACGTTCTCCATTCTGGTGGGGAGAGAGCCAATAAATGAATAAGTAATTGCGGGCAGTACAATGAAAGGTATCGCGTCAGCATCAAGTGATAGGGATTAATTGAGGCAGGAAAGACCTACTAGGTGCTCTTGAGTCTTTACTATGTGCCAGGCACTGGGCTAAGTGCTATTTTTTTTAAAGAAATATTTTATTTATTTGTTCTTAAAGAGAGGGGAAGAGAGGAAGAAAGAGAGGGAGAGAAACATCGATATGAGAGAATCATCGATCAGTTGTCTCCCACATGCACCCAGGCACTGAACCTGCACCCCAGGCATGTGCCGGACCAGGAATCAAACCAGTGACCTTTCACTTTGTGGAGTGACACCCAACCCACTGATCCACACCGGTCAGAGCATGGGCTATGTACTTTTAAGTGAGGCATTTCACTTGGTCTTTACAATAACCTGACGAAGGTGGTTTGGTAGCCTCATTTTACAGACGAGGAAACCGCTAAGAGGCAAAATCACTTGCCTGAGGCCACATTGCTAATACGCACCCAAAGCTGGGGTTTCTGTCTGACTCCAAAGCCTACCCTCCTGACCACTAACCTCTTGACCTCGCTCAGTCAAATTCGATTTGATTAGAAGTAATGTTCAACTCTGTAACCTCACATTTACAGATTGCACCCTGGCTGGTCTGGCTCACTGGGTTGAGTGCCGGCCTGTGAACCAAAGGGTCACTGGATTGATTCCCAGTCAGGGCACATGCCTGGGTTGAGGACCAGGTCCCCAGTAGGGGATGTGCCAGAGGCAACCACACACTGATGTTTCTCTCCCTCTCTTTCTCCTTCCCTTCCCCACTCTCTAAAAATAATAAATAAAATATTTTTAAAAGGTTATAGATTGCTGCAACCTTAAATCATCATTATTTCTCAATATACTGCTTTTTATGCCCTGTATTACTTTCCTGTAACCATTTTCCATAAACTGAGTGCCTTAAAGCAACAGAAGTTTATTCTTTACAGTTCTAGAGACTAGAAGTCCAAAATCAAGGTGTTCACAGGACCATCCTCCCTCCAGAGGTTCAAGGGGAGGATCTTCTCTTGTCTCTTCCAACTTCTGGCAGCTCCTGGTGTTCCTTGGTTTGTGGCAACATAACTCTGACCTCTGCCTTCATCTTCTCATGGCCTCCGTACCCCCTTTGTCTCTTGGGTCTTCTTCTTTTTTTATATAAAGATTTTATTTACTTATTTTTAGAGAGAGGGGAAAGGAAGGAGAAAGAAAGGGAGAGAAACATCAATGTATGGTTGCCTCTCACACGTCCCCTATGGGGGACCTGGCCTGCAACCCAGGCATGTGCCCCAAGTGGGAATCGAACTGGTGACCCTTTGGTTTGCAGCCCATGCTCAATACACTGAGCTACACCAGCCCAGGCACTTGGGTCTTCTTTTAAGGACACCAATCATTGGATTAAGGCACTTCCTAATCCAGTATGATCTCATTTAATTAAGCAAATTGCATCTACGAAGACTTTGTTTCCAAATAAGGCAACATTCACACGTTCTGGGTGAACATGAAGTTCTAGGGGACACTATTGAACATAGTTGAAATGGCATAATTTTTTAAAGGTAAATTTTTGGTTATTTAAATTTGGGGCATGTGTTTCTTTATTCATTGGTGGGTTCTTTTTTTTTTTTATTTTAGCAAAGGAAATTCCCAAATGCATGGCATAAATTGATACTCAGTTAATATTTCTTTAATAAACACAGAATTTACAGTCCTGGCTGGTGTGGTTCAGTGGATTGAGTGCCAGCCTATGAACCAAAAGGTCATCAGTTCGATTCCCAGTCAGGGCACATGCCTGGGTTGTGGGCCAGGTCGCTGGTTGGGGGTGGCATGCGAGAGGCAACCGATCGATGTTTCTCTCACACATCAGTGTTTCTCTCTCCCTCTTAAAAAGAAAGAAAAAGAATTTAGGAATCATTGAATTAAATGCACTTTCACACTTTCTACCCCTCTCCTGTCCACACTTTCTACCTTTCTCCTTTCATACTGTCTTATCTCGGCTCTAAGTAAAGCACTAGAGTTTATGAAGGAGGAGAGCAAGGGAGCAAGCGACCTTGGATGTCACTGAGAACTACCCGCATTGCTTAGATGAGGAAACCGGCCAAGGCTGTGGACAAGACTTGCCCAAAGAAACGCCACATGGTAGTGTCTGGTGCTAGAAATCCAGGTCTCCCAACTTCAATATTGTCTGCTCTAGCATGCCTTTCACCTGCTCCTGCAGATTTGCATTTTGTTTGCGAGGTTGTTGAGCTTTAACAAATAGACAGCCAGATATTTCTCCAGCAAAATGGGTTTATTCAGGAACAACAAAGAATTGCAATTCAGGACCTGTGGCCTAACGGTAAACCATGCTCAAGTCCAGAGAAACAAAGGAGAGGGCTACTCTTTGATGGACTTCAGAGGGCCTGTTGTAAATGAAGTGTCCACTGGAGGAAACTAGAAGTTTGGAGTACAGTGACTTTTCACTGGCTGAGTTATGGCAGTCTCCCATTGGCTGAGCTGTAACAGGGCAAGGAGGAATCTTTCCTTTCTCATGCTCAGGTAGTAATGTACAATAGTATCACTTCTTATTGTAGATGCAAGGTATGTCTCTTCCTATTGGGGTTAATAGTCTGTGTTCAATGATATGTGAGTAAGAGTTCTCTCTTCTGGCCTCCTATTCCATTTTAAAAGAAGTTTCTCTTTATTAATTTTCACAAGCTTAAGGAGAAATGAAAGTCACAGTGTCCCATTACATCTTCCCTAGTTTCTTTGGGCAAGTCTTGTCCACAGCCTAGGCCCGTTTCCTCATCTAAGCAATGCGGGTAGTTCTCAGTGACATCCAAGGTCGCTTGCTCCCTTTGTATTATCAAAGACCATTATTCTGATCGTTAGAGAGTGTGTGAAGGTGGGGCTTTTTTTTTCTTAAGTGTCTGTGCTTACTGTTTCAGACAATATTTCAGCATAATCTTGCAGAGGGAGGGAGAAGCACAGAAGATTAGAAAAATAGCTGTTTATTCAGCAACTGCCACTGTATTTCCTCACCACTGCTAGGATGAGGAAGTGCTTGCCTCTGTCAACACAGGTTCTGATCCCTCCTGGGGTGCAAGAAGGAAGCAGCATGTAGAGAGGTACAGACTCCACCTCTGAAGACCTGTGTTCTGGTCCCACTTCTGACCGCAACTAGCTGCATGATCTTGAGCACCTGCCATCTCCTCTCTGGGTCTCAGTTTCCTCCTCCCTAAAATGTAAAGAGTAGGAAAGAGGATTGTGTAGAGGATTTCCAAAGTCCCTTTCAACTTGGACGTGCCGCAGTTCTCTCACTGATATGTGGGCACTGGCTATGCCACTTGGGGTCATTATACTTCCCACACCTGATGGCCTCATTTCCTGTCTGACCATGCACAGCACCTATGGATTGTGGGGGATTTGGTGACCAACCACCCTGCCAGACGAGGTTCACACAGGTAGTGCTAGACCCTGGGGCTCTTTGTTTTGTTTTAACTTTTTTTTCCAATTACAGTTGACATTAAATATCATTGCATATTATTTTCAGCAGTATAGCATAGTGGTTAGACAATTATATAATTTACAAAGTAGTCCCCCAATCATTTCAGTACCCACCTGAGGACCATACATAGTTGTTACAATATTATTGACTATATTCCTATGCTGTAGGGCATGGGGCTCCTAATTTTTCTTGCCCTACTACTCTAAAAACGTTCCTTTGTGGTGGCTTGTATGTACATGGGTCTTGTTTTTCCAATTAGATATTAAACTCTTTGAATGGCTCCAGAATTCCCAAAGCAAGTATTAGACAGGCAAAGTGGTCACACCTGCTCTTTCTCTTTCAGCACCCACTGTTCTCCCTCCCCTTCCTTCATAATGCATGTACCATCATTATTCTACTTCGTTATTTCTACATGGACGGCTACAAAGTCATTGCATCTGGTATTCCTGCCTCCAGGCTTACTCTTTTGTACTACAGCTTAAAAAGTGCCCTACGGCTCCCAACAGCAAAATACACTACTCCCAGTTCTCTGCACACACACACATCGGGCCTTCCACAGCCCCACGATTTAACCCCGCCAAAAAGTCTTTTCTGAAGTTTCTCTGAGACCATCAGTGGACCACTGTCAACGCTTCCTTGCGTCTTTCTCTCTTTAAGCGCCGGAGGGCTCGACGGGGACGACGAACTAGAGGCCCGGGGGCGGGGAGGGGGCGGGGGCGGTGAAGGGACTCAGTAGCGGAAAAGGCCAGGGCTGACCCGCCCCTTTTTCCTTCCAAGCCAATCATTAGTTAGAGTGGGCGGGGCCTCGCGCCGGCACTTGCGCATTAAGAGGGGCTGGTGGAGGCGGAGAGGTGGAGAGGCGGAGATGCCGTCTCCCGAAATGAAGTCGCGGGCGGTGGAGACCCAGATTCTGCTGTTGTTGGTTCTCCGAGTGGCCAAGTCGGCGCTCGGGGCTCAGCGCCTCTACACTCCGGACTGGTCGAGTCTGGACTCCCGGCCACTGCCGGATTGGTTCGACAAGGCCAAGTTCGGGGTGTTCGTGCACTGGGGCGTGTTCTCGGTGCCGGCCTGGGGCAGCGAGTGGTTCTGGTGGCACTGGAAGGGTGAGGGATCGTTGCAGTACCAGCTTTTCATGAAAGAAAACTACCCTCCCGGCTTCAGCTACGCTGACTTCGGGCCGCAGTTCACTGCGCGCTTCTTCGACCCAGACGACTGGGCCAACCTCTTCCAGGCCGCCGGGGCCAAGTGAGTGCCGCTGCGGGTGCCGTCGGAGCGCCTCCTCCCGGGATCGGAGCAATGGGACGGGGGTTCGGCGGGTGGGAGCCTAGCTGGGGCGACTTGCCCAGGCTCACACAGCCATCTGTCAGACTTAAGATACCCCCAGGTCATGTGTTTTGTCCCCTGAAGGATGCAGAATTGAATGTGGCATGCCTGATCATAAGGAGAAGGTGCGTCTGGGTTGAGGACTAGAAGAAAATAAAATTTTCAGGGAGGTGGTGGGTGGGAAAGCCTTCAATATCAACGCCTGTGTGTTGAGAGGATGGAGCTAGGTGATGCCCCATTGTCCATTCCAAGCTGACAACACAATCAGGATTTTAAGCAAGTGGTAGGGAGTGTGGTCCTAGTTTATCTGTGAACTTCAACACGTCATTTCACCTCCCTGTGGCCCCCTTCCAAGGCTACAGAAAGGGATTGTGTTAGTTCCTTTCAGTTTTAGTATCTGTGAGCAGGGGAAGGGAAGGGAGTCCTGGTGAGCAGTATTTGGGGCCACAGCACAGATTCTCCTTCATCCGCTCTTCTTATGAAGGGTCCTTGTACATGAAAGCGCTCAAGAGATGTCTGAATTGTCTTGGGAACTATTGGAGCTCTCGTGTGAACGGATGGAGAACTGAAAGTGGAACGAGCTGAGGTGGGGAGGACGGCGACCAGGAGCCCTGAGGTTGTTGAAGGCTGAGGCCAATCTTGAAGAAGTGATCCCTGAGGGCAGTATGTGTCCAGGTGTTAAGCCAGGGAATGGTTACCCTTAGCTTCTAGGAGGAGGATTAGTTTGGTTGCTGGGAGGGTGGTGGGTTGGAGAAGAGGAAGAATGGAGACGGTCAGGTCTTCCAGCTCCTGGCTTAGAGGAGCCTTTGATCCTTGTCTCTTCAGTCATCTTCCAGGTTTCAGTTCCTCTTGGACTTTAAGATTTCTTGTACTAAGCAATTACAGTGACAGTGTATGGGACTATAAGGCTGGAATAAACAGAGGAGGTGTTCTCTATCTTCTAGGAGCCTTAGAGATCCATAATTCAAAATCAGAAAAAAATTAAAATGTGGGAAACATTCTTTGTCCAGGCCTCTTTTCAGGGACCAGGTGACTGGCCTAGGTAGAGGAAGGGAACTGATGTCCCAGACTCCAAACCTCACCGCTCCAAGGTGAAGGTTCTTTCCCCAAACCAGAGGATTTAGACATGGCCAGAGGGATTGGTCCTCTGCCTGTTTTTTGTAAGTTCCATGAGATGAGAATGATTTTTACATTTTTAAGATTTTATTTGTTTATTTTTAGAGAGAGGGGAAAAGAGGGAGAAAGAGAGGGAACGAAACATCCGATGTGTGAGAAATACATGGCTCAGTTGCCCCTCACACTGGGGACTGGGAATAAAACTGGCGACCTTCTGGTTCACAGGCCAATTCGCAGGCTGGCACTCAACCACTGAGCCACACCAGCCAGGGAGATTTTTACATTTTAAAAGAGTTAGGGCCCACAAAGCCTGAAATACTTTCTGGCCCTTAAAGTCTTAGAGCTCCTCCCTCTAGCCAGTGATTAAATTATCTCTGGGATTCCACCCCCCACCCCCTGCCCCCAGCCATAAAAGCAAATGAAATATTGAGTAATTTGGCAGTTATTTCAACCCTTGCCTTTACCCCCAGCTCATTTAGACTTTTGTCGCCTCTGTAAATGAGAGGCAATTCATGTGGGCTTGGTAAAACAAACAGCTTACTTTTTTTATCATCTGCTATTTCCTGTAGAGGTTTCTTTCTTCTTTAGAGCAAAGACTTCAGAAAAGCTAAACAGCTCTGACTGGTGTGGCTGAGTAGGTTAACCGTCATTCACACAAACCAAAAGTGGCAGGTTCGATTCTTAGTCAGGACACATGCCTGGGTTGCAGGCCAGGTCCCTGGTTGGGGGCGTGTGAGAGGCAACCAATGGATGTTTCTCTCCGTTCCATGTTCAGAGAGCCAGTTCCAACCATTTCCAAGGCCTCGGTCATGCTGGGTAGGTTCATGTTCATGGCCCACTGCCCACTTCCTCTCCTCATATGGTTTTGATGTCCACAGGTATGTAGTCCTGACAACGAAGCATCACGAAGGCTTCACAAACTGGCCAAGTCCTGTGTCCTGGAACTGGAACTCTAAGGATGTGGGGCCCCACCGAGATCTGGTTGGTGAGCTGGGAACCGCCATCCGGAAGAGGTGTGTGTCTGCAGACGGGTGATCCGTCATTGCTTCTGATCTAGCAGCCATCCGCTGTGCCCTGCCTTCTCCACTCTTGGGTATTTTTGAAATTTCCATTGAGCACGGAACCTGAGGGGCCTCTGGCCTTGGAATTAGCAGAGTTTGATGCTTGGCAGTTTTTATGTGACCAAACGGGACGGCATTAGAGAAACTCCTGGCTCTGGCTCTGTCTAGCTGGGGGAAGAATGCCCAGCGTAGACCAGAAGGGCCCATTTGTACTCTGAGAAGGATGCTTTTTGGAAAGCCTTCCAATCCAGGCCCTTTTCCAGTGTCTGATGAACTCCAGGGCCTGAGTCTGTCATCTTTGTGTCCCACGGAGTCATCAGCACAGACCCTTGCAGGCACCCAGCGGGGGTTTGGGTAAATGATAGATCGAGAGGGAGCTGAAAGCAGCAAAAAGTAAGGTAAGGAGCCACTGGGTTGATTCTGGTTAATGCTCCCCAATATTTGCCACTAAGGAACTTGCCAAGATAGGAAGTGGCAGCAGCAGGATTTAAAACCAGGGTTTCCGGTTTTGGCCCCCACAGTTCTGAGTGTGTCTGCCTGTAAGGAGGAGAAGTGGTATTTGCCCAGTCTCGGCTCTGTTGTGATTTGGTCAACTCGGTGTCCTGTTTAAGGGGTGGGCCCACTGCCTGTGTGCGTAAATGAAGTTTGATCAGAACATGGCTGTGCCCATTCACTTACGTGCTGTCTATGGCTACCTTCATGTTAACGTTTCGGAGTTAGGACAGAGACCACAGGCCTGCAAAGCCTGAAATACTTCCTGGCCCTTTAGGAAAGCGTGTGCTGACTCCTGCCCCCTGTTCAGTCTTCAGTTTCCCAATGATGTGCGTTGACCATTGTCCTGCTGTAAACCTCTGAGGGGTTGATTAGGTTCAGACTTTAGGGTACTTGATTTTTATCTTCTTTGTATCTCTTTGGTTCCGGAGTCACGTGGTGAAATAACTAACGCCAGCTCTCTCTGCCTTGCCTGTGTCGCAATGCACCTTGCTGCTTACTTGCCTCCCAGGGTTTCCGTTCCTCTCACTAGCCTTAACTCCAGCAAGCTGTACTGTGTATGAAAACAGGTCACTTCAACCACGTTTTGCTTTGGGTATATGGAAAACTCATAGTCAATAGTAGATAAATGAAACAATAAACCTATAATCATTCATTTCAACTACGTGGAAAATGTTACTAATGATTTTTTTTTCTGAGGGATAAGATTTTGGATATGTTATTCTTTATACTTTTCTCTATTTTTCAATGTCTCTATAATATGTATTATAATTGATAGAGAAAATATTTTTTTAGTGGACTCTATATTATTATTGAGATAATTGACTTAAAAGTTAAAAGATGGTTTAAATGACATTTGATGTTAACATATTTGTGTATAGCCCTGGCCAGGTAGCTCTCAGTTGGTTAGAGCATCATCCCAGTATGCCAAGGCTGTGGGTCTGATCTCTGGTCAAGGCACGTACAAGAATCAGCCAATGACATAGAGAGCAGGCTGACAGCTGTGGGGGTGAGGCGGGGAGGTTAGGGGGTGGAGGGATCAAGCAAAAAGGAAAAGACTCATGGACGTGGATACCAGTGTGGGATTGTAGGGGGAGAGGGTATAAGGGGGCTAAATGGTAATGAAAAAATACAATAAAATGTATAAATAAATAAATAACCTCAGGGAAGTGGGGGAAATCAACCAGCAAATGCATAAATAAGTGGAACAACAAATTGATGTTTCTGTCTCAAGTCAATAAATAAAAAGTTTTAAAAAGTACTTATGTATAAAATGTAGTTACGCATACTATCAAAAACACAGTAAACCAATCGTTGTGATTGACTGATCAGAGATAATTGAATGGTTTGGGACCCGCCCCCCCATGCCACGTGCCCTCATGTGGGTGTGTCTCACTGAGGTGTAAAAATGCTGCCGCTGATTTTTCGTAAGATAGACTGTTTTCGCCACGTTACAGCCACTGTCCTGTTCTTCTGTTGCAGGAACATACGCTACGGGCTCTATCACTCGCTCTTCGAATGGTTCCATCCACTCTACCTGCTTGATAAGAAAAATGGCTTCAAAACACAGTATTTTGTCACTGCAAAAACAATGCCAGAGCTGTACGACCTGGTTAACAGGTAAAACACGGGAATATTTGGGGGCTAGGACTTTTGTAAATGAAGTCAGAGCTTTCTGTAGGGTACTGTGCTGTCAGGGGGAGAGGAGCAAAGGTGGAGTACGAGGAAAATCTAGAGGACATCGGAACAGTGAAAGTGGTGGTTGTATTGAGATGACATGTGTTTTTCCTCCCACTCTTCTGAACTTCTGTAATGCGGTCATATTACCTTTATAAATTGAAACAGTCAAACGGAACCCAGGATGGTAGTAAGTCAGATTCCCCAATCAGGTCCCTCCGCACTTGCCATTCTCTTTGTCAGGATCTTAGAGAGGCAATAGCATCTGGTGGGCCCTAAGCCCTGAGTGGGAGTTGGCCTTGGACAGATTTACATTTGAATCCTGACTCCTGTTGCTTAAAAAGCCTTGAGCAATCCCTGGCTGGTGTAGCTCAGTGGATTGAGCGCAGCCTGCGAACCAAAGTATCGCAGGTTCAATTCCCAGTCAGGGCACATGCCTGGGTTGCAGGCCATGACCCCCAGCAACTGCACATTGATGTTTCTCTCTCTCTCTCTCTTTCTCCCTCCCTTCCCTCTCTAAAAATAAATAAATAAATCTTTTTTAAAAAAGCCTTAAGCAGATCACCCTTCTGAGCCCCAGATTCTCACTGTGCAGTGGGGATAATAATGCCTTCTGATAGGGCTCAGAGTAATATGTGAAAAATATCTGTCACTGTGCCTCCTACAGAGTGTTGTTATTATTATCAATATCACTTAAAGTGATCAGTTTTACTTTGGGATTCGTCTCGCCTTGTTTTATTCCTTGCTGGCCCCTCTCACGCCTGGGGGCGGCTAGAGGACAAGGAGCAGCCGTCTCTGCCTGGGCTCTCGCTTAGAGAGGTGCCCGGACCTGGACTTGGACCTGCCTTGCATCCACGTGGTGTCTCTAGGGAAACCGTACGGTTGTAAGAGACCAGCCAAGGCCTGGAGTCAGACAGAACAGGATCTGGAATCCAGTTCCTTTTCCTGCTGGCTGTGTGGCCTTGACCAAACGACTTCATCTTCCCAGACCTCTGTTTTTTACCTGCAAAATGGGGATGATTTACACCATAGGGTCACTGTAAGAACTAATGAGGCAATGAATATAAAATGCCTAGTACAGTTTCTCACACGGAGTGAAATGCAGATGATGTTATATTTTGCCTCTGAAACAGGCAGTCTTTTTCCTGGACATATTTGCTGTCCTGGTTATGGGTACATACAGCATAGGAATTGGCCGGCAGGCAGATTTACATTCGAATTCCAGCTCTTGTTTAGTGACAAGCTTTTTCACCTAAAACAAATTGCCCTGCTGAGCATCAGATTCTCGCTCTCTAAGGTGGGACTAATGATGCGTACCTTACAGGTACACACTCACACTCACACCTCCTAGGACTCAGAGTAATAAGACATGAAAGGTGCAGCTGTGGCTCAGGCGGTTCTACAAATCCTTCGTGGCTGAAGCTCTGGGTAGCTGTCCAAAGGTATGCATTGGACAGAATAGTTCAAGCTCTTCATACATCTCAAAAGTAAAAACCTTAATCCTATAGTTCTGGAGCACCATTTCTTAAAAAAGATTTTACTTATTTACTTTTAGAGAGAGAAAGGAAGGGAGGGACAAAGAGAGGGAGAGAAACATGGATGTGTGAGAGATACATCCATCAGTTGCCTCTTGCATGTCCCTCCAACCAGGGACCTGGCCCACAACCCAGGCATGTGCCCTGACGGGGAATCAAACCAGTGACTCTTTGGTTCACAGGCTGGCACTCAATCCACCGAGCCACACACCAGCCAGGGCTGGAGCAGCATTCTTTTAGTTGGAATTAGTTGCTGGTGGGAGACCAAACTGTATAATACTGATTACAACTCTACTTTTTAAAAAGTCATTCAAAGAAAAAGATGAGGGGGAAAATTTCCAAAATGCTGTGTATTTAACAGTGGTTATGAGAGCAGAGGCTTTTTTGTGTGTAAGTGGTGGTTTTGGTCTCTCGTTTTCCACAATCTCTGCCCTGTGGTAAGTTACGGCACTTCCAAAGTGGAAGAAAGTTAATCTTTAATTATTCTTTGCAGTCCTGACCGCATTGTAAAGAAGGATTCATAAGACGTCACCGCAAATGGGTTCAGGCAGTGACCTTTGTGCTGCTGCGTGTTTTTCAGGTATAAGCCTGACCTGATCTGGTCCGATGGGGACTGGGAAGCTCCCGACGGCTACTGGAACTCAACGGGTTTCCTGTCCTGGCTCTACAATGACAGCCCAGTCAAGGCACGTGGTTGTATGGCTTCTCTCTTACTTATCTGTTGTGATTTTAAAAAATGTAAAGAGGCAAGCTCTGGAGTAACAACAACAGTGACAGCAGCAGCCACAATACAGCGAGTTTCTCTGGGGGCTACAGGGACCCGGGGACTTCACGGATGGTCAAGTCCTTTCACCTTTAATTCTTTCCCCTTCCTCTAAGTAGAGGGACTTCCTTTTCTCCTTTAATTCTTGACTTTGACCACACAGGTTTAAATCTTGTTAAAATTAATATACCAAACCAATAGCATTAAATGATAGGAGTAAAATGCAAATGTCTACAACTTCACCTACTCTTTGTTGATTATGTAGTTTACCTCTCAAGGGGAAGTTTTATTTCCTTTATATCCAGATTCTTGAGGGAACTTTGTCCTCCTCCCCCACCGCCCCCCACCCCCAGTCAACACGGCCACGCCGCACAGGAGTGGTCCGTTCACGGCGTGTGCTGTGGTGCATGTGCAGAGCGGCAGCAGCCTTGGTCCTCACTGTAGGAAGTTTCAGAAATGTTACATGTCCTGGATTCGTTGTGGATCTAGAAAAATCTATGTATAAGAACAGTTTGAATTAAGCTGTCTTGGTAGATTCATAAACCAGAAAGTGGGAAGAAAGGAAAAGAGACCCTATGTGACAAATAGGGACGAAGTGAGAGTGCTTTTCTGGGACTTGACAAATGCGCGGGGACTTTCAGTGGCACGGCATCGTGGTTCCCCGCCAAGGGTCCTCACACAGGGCGGCCTGGCTGTGCACCCTTGGGTGGGATGCCGTGGACCCTGGTTTCCCACTCTTGTTCTGAATGCTTTCTTTTCTTTAAAAAATATTTTTATTGATTGATTGATTCTAAAAGAAAGAGGCAGGATTTGTTGTTCTACTTATTTATGCTTTCATTGGTTGATTCGTGTATGTGCCCTGACCGGGGATTGAACTTCAACCTTCACTTATTCAGACAATGCTCTAAGCAACTGAGCTACCCAGCCAGGACTCTGAATGCTTTCCCATGCATCAGGAAAGACTGTTATTGTGGAGCAATAGTCACTTTAGGAAAGTATTTTTAGGAGAAATAGACCCTTCTCCTTACCATCCCCTCCGTCTGTAGTTCCTGTGCAGTCTGCTTGTCTTCTCTCAGCAGCCCTCAGTGCAGTGCAGCCGCCTCTCCCGCCGCCCCCTCTAGGGTTGCAGCGCGCCCCGGTCGCACTGCACGTCTTTCCCTGCCTTCTCCTTCTGTCAGCGCTCACCTGGTCTAACATATTCCAGATATCATTTACATTGCTTATTATCTGTCTCTCTCACCGAAGTGTCAGCTTTATACTTTATAAGGGCAAGGGTTTGGGGCAGTCCTTGCTATCCCCAACCCTGAGAACAGCTTTGACTTAGTTAGGCACATAATTCATGTCAGTCAAACGTAAACTAAATCTGGCTGCTGACGATTTATATTCTCTCCTAGAAGTGTTAGGAAACATCCTGAGTCAGGTTCTTCCATTTATGTGAATCCCTAGGTAATGAACTCTGATGTAATGTCATAATTGTTCACACACCTGTCTCCTCAGCTACTTTCTGCTGGATCTCGGAGGGCCAGAACGGTGTTTTATTCACCTTAGGTGCCCCAGCATGAGCCTCCTAGTGGGAGGAAACATTTGCATTTATATATTCTGTGTAATGATTTCTCATAGTTCAGCTAAACCTCGAAGGAAGGAAAAGAATGCTTGATTTGTTTACCTGGGTCATGCAGTGGGAAGAGTCCTGGGCTGGGCCCAGATACCTGATTCATAGTCTCAGCTGTCCGAAACTACCTGGGGTTATTACCTCGGGCAGGTCTTCTCTCCATTTCTCCTCTGATGAAATAAGTGGTTTACAAGCTAATCTTTGAAACAGGCTGTGCCAGTTCTATTGTGACAGATCGCTGGAGCAGGGTTCCTCCGCCTCGGCACTGTTGACATTTAGGGCTGCGTATTTATGTCTTTGTTGTGACGAAGCTGTCCTTGACGGTGTAAAAAGTTTAACACATCCCTGGCCTTCCCCCACTAGATGGCAGTAGTACCACCCCCGTCGCCACAGCCCAAAGTCTCCCTTAGGCTTTGCCAAACTCCTCTGGGGCCAAATGGACCCAGCTGAGAACTACAGCTCTCTGGGAGACCAGCAGTTTTCAGCCGGCGGTGCGCTGCAAGAATGTTTAAGCATGCCGTTCCTGACTACTTAGGCAGGGGCACTGACCTCTATTCTCTTAGAGTGTCAAATTTAAAAATGACAACAGCCCACACAACAATAATCATAGGATGTGAATGAACCAAAAGTATACCTATTTTTGTCAGATTGGCAAAAAATATATTTTGTGGCGTGCCGCAGAGTTTTAGTAATTAGCTTATGTGTGCCACGAGATGGAAGAAGTTGAAAACGCTGCTCTAGGCTAAGTCTGCGCCTTGTGTCCCAATAGACTCTTAATGTGTCACGCTGTCTTATGCAGGGAAGGCAAGGCGTCTTACAATGGATGACCCAGTACGCTTCCCTCCTTTAGGATGAGGTGGTAGTGAACGACCGGTGGGGTTTTAACTGTTCCTGTCACCACGGAGGATACTACAACTGTGCAGATAAGTTCCAGCCGTCGAGTTTGCCGGACCACAAGTGGGAGATGTGCACCTCCGTCGACAAGTGGTCCTGGGGCTACCGTCGCACCATGTCCATATCCGACACCTCGAGCGAATCTGAAATCATCGCGGTAAGGCCCCCGTGAGTTAGGTGACCGCTGTCTCAAACGCGCCTTCTAACCGAGCGTGGCGGAAACGCTCTGGGTGAGCGCGCAGGTGGGTGGGACCTTTGGGTTGTCAGACGTACTCGGAGAAACCTGTCCCGAGGGAATCGCTGTAACCGCAGAGGAAAGTTTTATGTACAGAAATGTTCTCCCCAGGGTTATTTTCAGCTGGACGCGTGGGTTGTTTCCATTTCCTGCAACCGTAAAGGGGTGGTTAAGTAGATTCGGGGTTGTCTTTAATCATTAAAATATTTATTAATGTAATACGGGTAAATTCTTAGAGGGTTGAGTGAAAAAATCACTTATACTCACAACTGTATAAAATTAACTACATAGAAAAAAGACTGAAAGGAAACATAAAAAGTTAATGGTGTGGTGTCTTTGGGGTACAGTAACAAATTCTCCTTTTTAGAATTTTCTGTATACAGCCTTCATCTTTCTGGGTTGCCCCAAAGTGCACCTGTTCGAGGTCACAATAAACAAGCAAACACACACACATCCCACTAGAAGCCTTGAAGAATGTACCTTAGTTCCTCCTTATTCTCAGGGACATGATCCAAGACCCGCAGTGGATGCCTGCAGCTAAGGATAGTACCGGACACTCCCTCTCTCCCTCCCCCTCCCCTCCCCCTCCCCCTCCCCCCCCCCCTCTCTCTCTATATATATTTTTTACCCTATACTATACATACCTATGACAAAGTTCAATTTATAAATTAGGCACAGTAAGAGATTAAAAACAATAAATAATAAAATAGGACAATTATAACAATATACTGTAATAAAAGTTACGTGAATTTGGTCTCCCAAAATACCTGGCTGCACATACTCACCCTTCTTCTTGTGATGATGGGAGATGACACAGTGCTTACTTCACGAGATGAGATGAGGGACTTAAAACTGATGAATGGTTGATTTCTGGAATTTTCCACTTAATATTTTTAGACTGCAGTTGACCCTGGATAACCGGAACAGTGGGAAGTAAACCCGCGGATGAGCGGATCTCTTTACAGCCTGTTTCCCGGTGGGGCAGCATACACGATAACACAGCCCCGCACACACAGAGCACCCTGAAAGTCTTCAGATCTCTTCTGTCTCCCCAAAGCCTCCACAGCACCCCCTCAAATCTCTTCTCCCTGATCCCCATAGTCTCTCTGTATGACTCCATGCAATCCTTTCATGGCCAAGTGCTTTGTTCTAGCTTTCCTGCGTGTACTTTGTGGCTTCTGCACATGACCCTTTCCTCCCAGGGGAATGCCCATGACCACTCCCTGGAACTGGAGTTAACATATTTCTCCATCTCATAGCAGGATTTTTCAGTGTGCTTCTTTAATCCTGTCTTGCTTTTATAATGACAAAAATATGTAGTATTTTCAAAAGGGTAAAGGGCATTCACAAAGCAGGGAGAGAAGGTGCCCTAGATTCTTTTTCTTCTCTGAGTACCTGTGTGTTCTAGGCATTATGCCAGGCTTAGAATTCCTAACTGGGTTTCCTTGTTTCTGCTCTCTCCAGGAACTGGTTCAGACAGTCAGTTTGGGAGGAAACTATCTTCTCAACATCGGGCCGACTAAAGACGGACTGATTGTTCCCATCTTCCAAGAAAGGCTGCTTGCCGTTGGGAAGTGGCTGCGCATCAACGGGGAGGCTATCTATTCCTCTAAGCCGTGGAGGGTTCAACTGGAAAAGAACGAATCCGTATGGTGAGCCTTGTCTCCGGTCGTGTGCAGGAACCGGACCGTGGCCCGTCTTGAGCTGGCCGCTCCGCGGGTCCATGATGTTAGAAGCCACACCGGAAGTCATCTTGAAGGATCCCCAAAGCTGTTCTTTCGCTATTAATTTGTACCCCAGTTTATGGTTTAAGCCACCAGGATGTCTGTGACTAGTGAGGGCAGTGATAGGCTTGGTGCAAAAAGCATCGGTCAATTTACTTGACACTTTACCTTGTCTTCCTGAAATTAGTAATAGCTAATGGTTGTGTAGCACCTACAACATGCAAGGCTCCATTCTAACTTCTTTCCACCCATTTAATCCCCTCAACAGGCCCACCAAATAGATACTGTTATTACCCCCACATTACAAGTGAGAAAGGGTCCCAAAGCGGTAACACCACTTGCCTAGGAGCACAAAGCTAGGAAATGGAGAAGTCACGGTTCACACTTGGAATTATGGATCTAGTTACCTGATCCTGGACCTGAGTTTTTGCAACTGCAGCGTGGGGTGATGATGCTTTACTCCCTAAAGCTGCTGTGAGGGTTCACTGAGATAATGGGTGTGAAGCTTCCAGCAGGGTGTCAGGCGCATATGGCACGTTTGATAAGAGACGTCTGCTCGCGTTGTGCCATACAGCACAGGCCCCTGGATCAGGGCGAACACGCCCACCCCTCAGTTCTGGAGGAGCTTCCATTTAGTGGTTTTCGTCCTCTTCCCTAAGCATGGTGAAATCTCAGAATAACAAATTTGTCTTCATTGCACATCTTGCCCTTGTGATATCCTCTGATGTTTTCACATGGATTTGGAGTTGAAAAAATATTGGAATAATAAGGCAGCTGGCTTCAGTGGGAAATAACTAGTATATAAGAGTTAAAAATTTTTTAAGAAAACATAACCCAATAGAGAAGAAAAATAGAAGATATATCAGGAAAAGGCTGCTTTCTTCCCACAGACTTTACCTGGTAACGAGTTATTGTGTCTGTCACTGATGTCAGTGACAGACACAAGGTCTTGGAATTGGTGGTTAATAGAAAGGGAAATGTATGAGGTCACGTGTAATCACCTTAGGGGTCAGGGTAACAAGCCCGTTATCTCTGGTAACGATGCCCTTCTCCCCCAGGTACACCTCGGAAGGAGCAGCTGTGTACGCCATTTTCCTGAAATGGCCAGAAAATGGAGTCTTGAGTCTTAAATCCCCCAAAACTACCTCCAGTACACAGGTGAGGAGCCTCAGTCGGTCCTTGCAGAGATGTGACAGTTTTGAAAGGAACTGGCAGGTCTTCTCCACTTCTCTTTTCCTCCCCAGGCTCCCCCGTGTTTATTCCCCTTTGGACTGTCTTCCCTGCCCTGGCCCGGCTTGGTGGTTTCCTGCCATTTTCAGGCCGTATTCTGTACTCCCTGATGCATTCATGTTTTCTCCATTGCCCTTTTCTTTCCTCAGATAATTATGCTGGGAATTCAAAAAGATCTGGAGTGGTCCAAAAGCCCCCATGAAGATCTCCTCATTCATCTGCCCCAGTTACCACCCTCTGCTCTCCCATCGGAGTTTGCTTGGACCATAAAGATGACGGGAGTGGAGTGATCGTCGGCGTTCAAGAGGAAAGGGACGCCATCTATTGTTCACTGTTTTGATTTTCTTCTTCCAGTACCGTTGTTGCAATAAACTCCTCTTTCCTACCCAGCGATGGCTTTCCAACATATTTTAATCACAGGAACTGAATGCCTTACTCTGCTGTCTCCGTGGCTCAGAGATCTGAGACGCCTCACCAGCATGTCTCTCTCTCTCTCATCAGCAGAAGAAAGAACCGTACAGTTAAGCTTCGAGTTCTTCCTTTCCAACTTTGGAAATTATCTACAGTGCAACCTTCCCTCCATTCCCTGTTTGATGACTGGCTTACTCAATGACTTCAGATAAAGAATAAGCCAATTCACCATGTTGCCTATGGGAGGAGATTTAAAGTTTGTCAAGCTCAACCACCTGCTCTATTGATTTGGCATCAGCTGTCACCAGCACCCCTCACAGAGCGGGAGAGAAAGAGGCTTTCGAGGCTAACGGTCAGCTCTTCAGAACTCTTCAAAGGCAGCTAAGGGCTCTGAAATTCAGTCTGTGTACAATGATACTATGAAGAAAATGGATGTGATTCTGCCCTGCTTTTTAAAATAGAATCAAATAAATTTTAATGTCAGATCATTTCTACCAAAAAATGTGTGATAGCTCTCTTTTCCCAGTTGCCGTATGGACTGCTCACTGCAGCATTGCGTTTCTGTGTTTGAGAAGGGCCGGGCGCGTCTCTTTAAGGCAGAACAAATGAAGTATCTTTGTTTTTCTGTTCCTCACTTCTAGTACCATTCTCCTTTTTTCTTTTTCTTTTTTTAGCATCAAGCAAAAAAAAAAGGGAACTTTATATGGAAAAGCTTTAAAAAACATTTAATCAAAGAAAAAGCATTTACCATGAAGAACTAAGTACATGCAAACACTTCGGTCATGGGTTTTATTTTAGGTCTGGGGAAATGTGGGAATAATTGGTAACAATCATTTCATACATACCACAGGTAAAGAACAGAGAGATGGCTTCTTACATCACAAACATCTTCTTAAGGAAGAAATAAATGACCCATTGTATTGTTTTTACAAGTCACTCTTCACTAAGTGTGACTCATTTTTATACCCATTGCACTTATAAACACATTTTCTATTTGAACAGGGTAAATAAGTAATTTCAGAAGTTCATAGTATGTAATTCCAGGCATTATCGTGGAAAAGTCTACAGGACAGAGAGGAATTTGACATCAAGGCTGGAAGGGCTACCCTGACTGGTGTGGCTTTAGGGGGTTGGTCACTGTCCCACAAACAGAAGGGTCGCTGTTTCCATTTGGGTCAGAGCACATGCCTGGGTTTTGGGCCAGGTGCCCCACTGGGGCATGTGAGAAAACCAATTGATGTTTCTCTCCCTCTCTTTCTCCCCCACTTCCCCTCTCTCTAGAAACAAATAATGGCCCTGGCTGGTGTGGCTCAGTGGGTTGAGTGCCAGCCTGTGAACCAAAGGGTCTCTGGTTCGACTCCCAATCAGGTCACATACCTGGGTTGTGGGCAAGGTTCCCAGCAGGGGGCACATGAGAAGCAACCACACATTGATGTATCTCTCCCGCTCTTTCTCCATCCCTTCCCCTCTCTCTAAAAATAAATAAAATCTTTTTTAAAAATAAAAACAAATAAAAATTTTAAAAAGCTGCAAGGGCCCAGACTTACACTCTCATCCTAGAGAAGGGAAACTGAGGGATATGGTGGGGAAATGGTTTGTCCATTGTCATATAGCTGGACTCCAGCCAAATTTAGTACCATTCTTTTGAGTTAACTACCAGTTCAGCCTCTTAAATTGTGATAGATCTAATCAAATGTTCTACGACTTCTATTTAATAGATGTATTTAGAAATCTCTGCCCAACACTTAAGGAATATTTTTCTGGAATGCATACGGGACATTTACAAATGTAAATACCACAGAAGCAGCATCACGTGGGCTGTATAGTATGTCTGCAACATAATTAAAAGATCATAAAAACCTGAAGAAAACCTGTATGTTTGGAAATGTTAAAACACATTCATAAGTAACTCAATGATCAAAGAAGGCACCTGCTTAAAACCCTTCCAATGTATTACTGTGAAGATAACTTTTATTAATATATCTCTGAAGCCCTGTAGTCTGGTCCCTGCCAATCTCTCCCATCTTAGTGGGAAGGCCCCTTCCTACTCCCTCCCTGCTCTCTCATCATGCTGGCCTTCTTTTCATATTTCCAAAACAATGTTTTACAAACATTTCTAAGTACTGCCTACAGTAAGAAATTTATTTTACATTGCAACCTGGTTGACATTATATATGTGTAACAAACAAAAGTTTTGCAAGTACCTAGTACTTACACAATGCACTCTGATATTTTGTGGGGTTTTTTCTTAAAGTTTATATCCACTAAGTTGATATTATGACCACAACATACATTTTGAAAAATACTGCTCTAAGCATTGAATTTCATTGCCTCAGGATCTTTGCACATGCTGTGCCATCTAAAAAGCTTTCCTTGTATCCTCTTTACCTGGATAGAGCTCACTCATTCTCCCAGGTGTGAAATCAGAGGATGCTTCTCTCTCTGGGGTCAACTGCCTGCATCTGAATCCAGAAGATGGTGATGAAGAAGTTAATATGTGCAAAGAACTCAGAACAGCGTGTGGCAAGTAGCAATGCTCCATCTTACTGTGAAAGGTAGTAATTATACCAGTTTGTGTGATTGTTGTGGACGAAAGGGGGACTACATACTAACCCTGAAAAGCTGGGGGAGGGAGGGGCACGTGGCAGGCCTCACAAACTGGTGACTGAAAGTAACCATTCCCCATGGTCTGCTTTCTAAGGAAAGCAGATCATGGTGGTGAGTGCATCCTAGGCCGGTAGCTTCCTTGAGGAAGGTCAATTTGTGTGTTAATGAGCCTGTACATTGTCTTTGTGTATCTAGGATAACATACCTTTGACTTGTCACAGTAATTTTCTTTCCCAGACCCTCTCCAAGGCACAACTTCCAGCCCCAGAGAACGAGACCACAGAATCCCCCATTGTTATTGTGGGCATACGATCGCCACGTACTGTACATGTTCTTAACTGCCCCCGCCAATGTAAAAGAACTGTCTCTCCGTTTTGCTTTTTATCCAGGACTAGAGATTTTCTCCTGTTCGGCTGTCTCCTGCCCCCTTAATCTACCAACAGATTTCATGTAAACCTCCTTAGAGCTTCTCCTTTGCTTGTAACGTATAAAACAAGCTGCAGAACTGCCATTCTCCAGAGCATTTACTCAACCCATTGAGATTTTGCTTCCTGGCTTGTCCTCAAAATTTGGCTCAAATAAACTCCTATAAGGCTTTTCTATAGACCGGCCATTCTTCCATCGATAGTAATATGTGTCTTCCCACACCTCCCTGACTCTAAACCTATGAAGACAGAAACTTTCGTTAGTTTTTGATCCTCTGTATAGCCCAAGTGTCTCACTTCTCCTGGCAATGAAACGGTGCTCATAAGCACCCCATAATGAGTACGGAAGTACAGGGCGGAGAGAAGGTAAGCTGAGCTGCTGGGGGCGGGGCCATCGTAGGGCGTCACCACGTCGCTGCAGAGGCCCGCCCCACAGGCGAGGCCCTGCCCACCTGGAGGTGGGCAGTCACGTGGGACTCAGTGGGGCCTCCCCCGGGTTAGCCGGACCAAGATGGCGACAGTGAGGGTGCCGCTGCGGCAGAGACTGGTGGGCTTGGCTTCCGTCAGGGCTGTAAGTGCCACGGCCGGCGAGGGGTGGCCATGCAGGCACCGTGACGCTCGGGGTCGGAGTCCCGACTCGTTCGGCTCCTTTGAAAGGCGAAGCCAGAGAGCTGTTCAGTCCCGAGTCAGGTGGACCTTGAAGGCTTAACGTGTGCCTGAGATCCCTTGAGGATTATAGGGAAAACAGTCCCGGAGAGGGGGAGCGACTTGCCCGGGTCATGGAAACCTGGGACGCCATCTCGGGTGTCCTAATTTCCTGTTCAAGGCTCTTTCTGGTGACCCTGGCACCTTTCTCCGTCCAGTTGAGCTTCAGACCTCTCCAAGCTCTTCCTTAGCGAAAAATCAGAAATACCCCTCCAGTTCCCAGCGGGAAAAGCAAAGTCATTCCCCTCTCTTTCCCTAAATGCTCAACTGTTGCGCAGTTGGAAACGAGTTCGGACTTCAGGGAGTTGGAAATGGGCCTGCACTGGGAACAGGAATCTCTTGTTTATTCCTGTTTCTAAGTGGAATATTCTCTCTGCTCTTAATTCTAAAGGAGACCAAATGTGAAGAATTATTATTCTTATGCATTGATTGATTTTTAGAAAGAGGAAGGGGGAGAAAGAGAGAAACATCAATTTGTTGTTCCCTTTATCTGTGTATGTATTTATTGGTTGATTCTTGTGTGTACCCTGACCTGATCAACCTGTAACCTTGGCGTATTAGGACAACCTTGTAACCAACCAACGGAGCTATGGAGGGCCAGGGCCAAATGTGAATTAAGTGGTGAGAACTACTGCTTGTGGTCCCAGCATTAGTGAGGATGGGTCCATTTCTTCAGATCAGCCCCCTGGGGATTTGTGTTTCACATTTCATGGAGCTTATTTGATTTCATTATGTAGTATCTACAGTTCACACACAGAAAGGAATAAAAGAGGAGCGTAAGTTAGGTGTTTAAATTCGTTCAAGTATGACAACAATGAAGTTCCACAATTTACTCCCACAAAGTATGGTAAAGCACCACTATAATAACACAACAAGCTCCATTAGTCACTGTGGGAAATCAAAGTGCTTTAATTCCTTCCAGGGTGTTGGGAAGACGGAGGGGTGGAGCAGTTGAAAGTGCCTTTGTGACAAATGTTACTGTTAACCCATCCAGAAATAAAGGTGGTGCTGGGCTGCGGGGTGGGGGGGGGGGCATTAAAAAGAACAGTTTCTTTGTAACCCTTCCCAACTAGGCCACTGGATGAGTTTCCTACGGCTGCTGTAGCAAATTCTAACAAATTTGGGGGCTTAAAATAACATTCATTTCCTTTCCCACAATTCTGGAGGTCAGAAATCCAAAGTCATTTTCACTGGGCTGATGTCAGTGTTTTAGAAAAGAATCCATTTCTTGTCTCTTGCAGCCTCTGGGCACTGTGGGTATTTCTGTGGCTGGGGCAGCATCACCCCAGTCTCTGCCTCCCTGGTCACATTGCCACCTCCTCTGTGTGTGAATGTGTGTGCACCCCCTGGGGGACTGGGACGATCTGTTCCTGTTACTTTTTGTTTTCTCTTTTAAATCAAAGGTCAGCACCTCATCCTTGAGTACTTTCCCAAAGCAGGTGAAAATTGTGGAAGTTGGTCCCCGAGATGGACTACAAAATGAAAAGGTAAGCCTGGAAATCAACCAAAAAAAAGTTCTTTTGAGCCCTGAGAGTTCCATGTGGTAGACGCAGCAGGGACAGACAGAGCTATGCAAGACATGATCTCTCTGCCCACTGCAGGTCTGGGTCGGGGGGCCAGGTGGGTGCCTGTGACAGTGAGGCGATCTAAGATGGCAGTGCATCGGATGCAGTATCCCCACATGCACTTCAAGGCCGTGGGGTGGCTGGGGTGTGCTGCGGGGCTGGAGCGTGACCGTGAGGGCATGCCTTTGCGTCCAGCAATTCCGTGCAAGGGGTTTTATGTAAACTAAGGCGGCCATGAAGGCCATATGCAAAGATTCAGCCTTGGGGGTGTTCTCACAACCAGTGGTCATAACAGAAAATTGGAATAGCGCTGTCCAGTAGAACTTTCTATGAAGATAGAAATGTTCTAGACTTGGGCTGTCCCATGGGGTAGCCAGTAGACAGATACATGTGGCTATGGAGCACTTGAAGTGTGGCTGAGGAATTTTTATTTTTTTTGTAATCTTGGTTAAAATGTATATGACCACATATGGCTAGCATCTGACATACCAGACTTCACAGACCTGAAGGTTACATATCAGGGAGGTTTTAAGGGTGGTTTTCTTTTGTTTCTGGTGTGTGTTTCGGAAATAATCATGTATTAATTTTTTTTCATTAAAAACGCTTTAAAAAAAAACGCGACAAGCCTAATTTTAATATTGAGCACTTGCTTGGAAGAATAAACCGTGAGCTCCAGGAGGGCAGCATCGTGTCTGTCTTGCTCCCTGTGGTCCCCCCAGCACCGAGCACACTCCCTGGAACATGGAGGGCCCTCAAAAACCATTTGTGTAATGTAACAGATTACATTAAAGCAGTGCAAGAGAAATCGTGGGGGAGCGTATGGAAGGACTTGAAGTTCTTAGGATTTTTTACCTGATCTTATAGGTACTAGGGAGCCATGGAAGGCATTTGAGCAGTGGAGTGAGATAGTGGAAGCTGTTTTAGGAGGATTCCTGTGGGGTGGACTGGCGGAGTGAGGCTGTGTCATAACGTCCCTGGGGAAAATGATGCCAGATTTAGAAAGAGAAATCCATAGAGTCTGCTTGGCAACTGGACATTGTGGGGGAGGGAGAGAAACACTAGGCTGAACAGGTGAGGATGAGACCCTCTGCCACTTGGGAGATGGAAGAGGAGGGTGTAATACTTTGGGGGCCCGGTCTCATAAGACCCAGAGGGTTAGTCATCCCTGCCCTCTCAGGCCATGATCCGTGGCCCTCAGTTTGCTTATGACCAGATCATAAATTAATAAACATTTAGTTAAGAAAAAGCCTATATGGCAGAAAAATACTGTTTCTATGTAGATATTAACTCCTTTTCAGATAATAAGCTGCCTCCAATGCACCACCTTGTGTGCAGAGCCTGAAGACACCTTGTACCCTAACTGTCAGCGGGGGTTACACATTAACTCACATTAGTGAGATAGTGAAGTGTTTGCTGTAGCAAATGCTTAGAACTGACAGCCACTGCTTTCTGAGGCCATTTGCTTCCCAACTTGGCTGACCTGTCTGTTCTGGTGTTCGTCCCTCCATTGCAGAAGATTGTACCTACTGCAGTGAAAATCAGGATGATAGACATGCTTTCTGAAGCAGGACTCCCCGTCATAGAAGCCACCAGCTTTGTGTCTCCCAAGTGGGTCCCTCAGGTGAGCCCCAGCCGTCAGTGAGACGTGTTTTTCAGAAGAGAGGGACGGAAAAGTTTGCATTCGTCCTGGAAGTAAGTAGGCATCAAGAGCATAGGTTTCCGGGTCTCTGACTTGCAGGGGTCTTAGGTGATTCAGAGCAGCATTACTCAGCAAAAAAAAAAAAAAAAAAAGTAACATCACAGGTGGGAGGCTTGGATTCAGCCGGGCTCTGCCTCCGAACTGCTTGGCGACCTTGCTGAGACCGCGCAGAGCTGAGCCCAGGGACCGTGCTCTCCGTGTGTTCTCTGTGAACTGCCGGTAGTGTTGGCACCGCTGTCGCTGCTATGTAAAGCCGACAGTGTTCTCCATGTGGAGAAACGGGCTGTCGCCCACACCCAGGGGCCTTCTGGCCCGTTGGCCGTCACAGGTAGGAACGGCGCCAGGGAGACAGCTCTGCAGAAGAACTCGTTCATTCACCAAGGGTTCTGGAGAACAGAGGTCATGTGATAAAAAGGTTTTCTCTGCCTGAGCTCTCTGCTTGCCCTTGCTGATGACTCCGCAATGTCTCCTCTGGTTCCCAGATGGCTGACCACACCGAAGTCTTGAAGGGCATCCAGAAGTTTCCTGGCATCAACTACCCAGTGCTGACCCCAAATTTCAAAGGCTACCAGGCAGCGGTAAGCTTGTTGGTGGGGGCCCTGCAATGAGACTGATGGCTCTGGTCCCTGCCTTCTCCCTGGGCCTCAGGCCCTGTCCCGGGATGTCTGTCTGAAAGGCTGTCTCCAATGGTGAGGAGCACCGTCAGCCAGACAGATGATAGGCTCGGGCAGTGCTGGCCTGGCCACTCCCAGCTCCCTGGTCTTGACAGGGTTCAGGTCTTGCCCATGTAGTAGGGCTAGTGATAGGGTAATGTTCTGAGGATTTTAGAAGATAAAATGCATATAAATTGCTTAGGGGATAAGTGCTTAATAAATTATAGCTTTTTTGTTCTTACCCATTTCCTCTGTAAAGAAAGATAAGCAAGATCTCAAGAATTTCAACGGGCCCTGGCTGATGTGGCTCAGTGGACTGAGAGCCAGCCTATGAACCAAAGGGTTGCCGGTTTGATTCCCAGTCAGGGCACATGCCAGGGTTGCAGGCCAGGTCCCCAGTAGGGAGGTGTGTGACAGGCAACTGATTGACGTATCTCTCACACATCGATGTTTCTCTCCCTCTCTTTATCCCTCCCTTCCTCTCTCTAAAAATAAATCTTTTTTAAAAAATAAAAGAGTGACCAGCTTCCAGGGCAATGGCAGTGGCAATATTGGTCCCTGGGGGAAAGCCAAGGTTCTTTCTTAATTGAGATATAATCCACTGTATTAATTTTATGGGGTTGCCATAACAAAATAACCACAAATGTCAGAAATGTACCCTCTCATAGGCTGGGGGGCCAGAAGTCCAAGATCAAGGTGTCAGCAGGGCTGGTGCCTTCTGTGTGTTCTGGGGGTGACTCTGGTCCGTGCTTCTGCCCTGGTTCCCAGTGCCAGCCCACAGTCATGGGCATGCCTTGGCGTGTAGGTGTGTGACTGTAATCTCCGCTTCTGCCTTCACTGGCCTCCCCTCCGTGTCTCTGTCTTCACATGGCCGCTGTCTCGTGAGGACACCAGTCACATTAGAGAGAAACCAGTGTGGCCTCGACTTAATAAATTATATCTACGATGATCCTATTTCCAAATAAGAACACAGGCTGAGGCACTCGGGGTTAGGACTTAAACATAACTTTTTCTGGGGGGGACACAGTTTAACCCATAACATTCATAGATCCTAAAATTGACTGTGGGACCAGGGGTTTTTGTTGTTCTGGTGTCCCTCGAGGAGCCAAAGGCTCAAAGGAGTTCCTCTGGCTGTTGGCAGGTGGCTGCTGGAGCCAAGGAGGTGAGCGTCTTTGGAGCTGCCTCCGAGCTCTTCACCAGGAAGAACATCAACTGCTCCATGGACGAAAGTATCCAGCGGTTCAGCCAGGTCTTGCAGGCAGCCCGGGCAGCCAGCATCCCTGTGCGGGGGTGAGTCCAACCACGTCGCAGCTGCCCATCTTTTCCGCACTGCCGTTCTGGACCAGTACCTAACTCTGACCCAGTGACCATCCCCCACAAACTCCTTATCCTGGGGGCAGGCAGCCTAAGCTCCAGACTGCGACATCTTTTCCCAAGTAAAGGTAGTCAGAAGAAACCCTAGCAAGTGCTTTCTCCAAACCTGATTTTGGGGTCGGTTCACCAGAGGCAATCTTAGCAGGATGGGACATGAGGCAGGGTTTGTGGCAGTCGCTTTACTCTTGGCTCCACCACCAGCTCTTCACACGTCCCGGAAGAATCCCCTAAGCCTCTTAAACCTCCAAGACCAACCACACGGTCAATAGCAATAGTGCCGGGGATCATCTTATGTAGCTTCACAACCGGCCAGCAAGGAGGGGAGGAGCCCCACGTACAGACGACAGCACTGAGGCTCAGGAGGGTGGATCGTCCGCTGTAAGGTCCAGGTTGCAGCCAGAGTGCTTTCAGAGGCGTACTCTGACCACATCCCTCCTGGTCAAGAAGCTTACGGTGACTTCCCCACTCCAGACTTTCCCAGTGGGTCAGAAGGCCCTGTGTGATTCAGGCCCTGCCCTCCGTGCAGCCTCAGTGGTCACTGCTCCCTTCCAGCCCAACTGGGACTTCTTTCCCTTTGTCACGTGGTCCCACTCTCTTGCCTCTGGGCCTCTGCACCTGCTTTCCCAAGATGCAGAACTCACTTCCTTCTACATCCTACTTGTCAGGACTAACCGCTGTTCATCCTCCAGGTCCCCTCATGGCTGCCAGTTTGTCCAAGAAGCTTTCTCTGTCCCTCAGCTGGAGTTAGCGCCACCCCCACCCCCACCCCGGCCTCCCTTAGTCCATTACATGTCCTCTAACTTAGCACTCAGCTGCTTGGTCAACTGTCCCTTGCCTCCCACCCCCACTAGACTGAGCCCACATCTCTCTCTTCCTGGTGTACCCCTCTGCCAGCTCAAGGCCCAGCACACAGTAGGTGCCCAGGATCTGATCGGCAGATGGATGCATGGATGGATAGAAGGATGGACGGATGCACGCATGGATGGATGGATGGATGGACAGACGGACGGATGCATGGATGAATAGAAGGATGGACGGACGGACGGACGGATGGACGGATGCATGGATGGATAAAAGGATGGACGGATGCACGCATGGATGGATGGATGGATGGATGGATGGATGGGGAAGCAGGGGCTTATCAGGTCTGCCTGACTCCCAAGCCTGGTCTCCTAACTTTCCCTTGCTCAGCAACAATTGGAAAATAAGAGGGAGAATTAAAATGGAAAAATACACTGAGATCTTTAAGGCTGAAGCAACCGTTTGTCATGCGCAGAATAGTTTGCTAGACTCTGAGAGGTTCCAGTGGAGCCTCGGCTCCAGTGGTGTGGGTGGGAACAGGGGCCACCTACATCCGCGATCCAAACTCCTTACCGTAGGTCGTAGGTCACAGGACCTGTGATGAGGCCCATGCCCGCCTCTCCAGCCTCGGGTCGGGTCGTACTTCTTTGCCCGTCGCTCCCCGTGCCTCAGCTGCTCGGCCTTTGCTCTCTGTCTCAAACACGCCCACTCTCCCAACTCGGGGCCTCTGCACTGGCTCTTCTCTGCCCGAATGCTCTTCCTGTGGCTGCCCCCGCCTCAGCTGCAGCGTATGTGTTCACACGTCTGTCCTGGGCCACCCCAGCCACTCTTGGCCTCCTCTGGTTGCTCCTGTCACACTCCCCAGCCTTTTCTTCACAGCACGTCACCTTCTGAGGTTTCTCCTGGACTTGTCTGATTGCCCTTTAATCAGCTGTCTCCTAATGGCAAATAAGCACCATGGTAGGGGGACATGTCAGCCTTGCTCACGGAGCTACCCTAGTGCCTGGCCTGGAGTGGCCAACTCCGTGAGTATCAGTTGGATAAATGAATCGTCTGACAGCTCACCGGAGCAGGCCAGCCCGGCTCTTAGTCCTGCCTTTGGTTTCATGGGTCCCTGGTCCCGTCCTGAAAGAATGGGCCCCAGCTACCCTGGCCCATGTTCTGCCTTACCACACCTCTGTACGGCTCAGGCACCTGCTCCTGTTACCTTCTCCAGCTCCTCCCTGGCTGGTCTCTGGCTGCCTGTCCAGAGACCTGTGCGACTCCTGCTTCCTGAACTACAGGACTGTTAGTCCCCTTACTTGCCGTGGCTCTCCACTGCCCCCTCCCGGCACTATGCGGCACTGCCTACATTTTGGCTCTGTGTCATTGACTTAGCCTTTCACCCAGATGCTTGGCCTCCTGCCCAGCTCAGGTTGATTGCGAGCTAACCAGGGATGTGTGTCAAAGAGCCCCCCTTGCCTCAGCCTGCTGGCCAAAACTCAGGGGCACTGACTCCCTTCCTCCCCGTCTTCCCACAGGTATGTCTCCTGTGTGCTTGGATGCCCCTATGAAGGGAAGATCTCCCCGGCCAAAGTAGCTGAGGTGTGTGTGAGCATCAGGGCGGGGCTTTTGCGAGGGCTGGCTGCCTTGCCTGCCCCTGCATGCAGAGGTTCCCCTCGCTGCCCTGTCCTGGAGAGTCACTGATTTCCTTCGTTCACACCCCGGCCCTCCAGCCCAGGGTGAACGCCTCCTCTGGAGTTCCCGGTCTGGTCAGTGGGCAGATGGTAATTGAGGCGATAATCCTTTGTGCAGAGGCTCCTCACCCAAGGGTCTCCGAGGTCCCTTGTAGTGGTCAGAGAGGCCACAGGACACCCTCTGAACAACAACCAAGTCTAAGAATAACACACAGCGGGAACTCAGTTTCAGCAACACAAGAGCTCATGGCACTTAGTCCTCAAAACCAGCCTGCAAAGTCGGTGTTGTTTTTGTTAGCCCATTTTCCAGCAGAGGAAACCGAGACTGACTCACTTGCCACGCAGGTTGCCCATGGTGCGACCACATCTCAACCCCCATCTCGTTTACCTCCGGATTCCACTTGCTCTTCCCTCAGCACCATGGCCAAGTCCAAAAGGAGTGGTAACAGTCTTGTCTGCTGACTGAAAGGGAGTGCTACGCTCCAGGTCTCGGCTTCCTGTTGCCGCCACGGCCCTTCAAAGTTCCGTCACCATTTTTTAGAAGCAGAAGCTGAAGCTCAGAAAAGTCACATCCCTTGCCAAGGCCCCACAGCTGGTGAGCAGCAGGACTGGGATTTTAATCCAGCATCACGTCACTCCAGAGCTGCTCCTTCGGCTGCACCCTCCGCCCCTGCAGGCTGCTAGGTGCTGGTCACTGCTCTCAGCACTCTTCTTGTCCGCAAACCATGGCCAAGTGCTGTCCAGTTCCCTGGCCCCAGCACATCCTCCCTCAGCTGCACAGCGTACGGAAGCGTCTCCCTGGGTCGAGCATATACTCTGGTTTTGCAGTGATTTTAGGGGTCTGCCAGTGGGCTTCTAAAAGTTTAAATAGTTTTGTACTTCTGTGAAAAATACAAAGCTAGCACTTCAGACCCAAGATTTCACTGATCAAGGATAAAGCTACAGGAAAGGGGTCCATTTCACTGCTTCTAGTACCTGGGTCTGACGCAGTGTGAGGAGGTGGAAGCTCAGGTGGGAGGAAAGCCCGGGGTTGCAGCCCCAGGGTCTGCCCTGTGGCAGCTCCCTACGCCCTCGTCTCCTGACAAGGAGCATGGGGGCTGGTCCACTCAGAGTTGTCAGGAGCCAGCACCCCTATCCGTGGAGTGCCTGGTTGTGGAGGTGTTCTGCACAGGCCATGGACCCCGCTTCTGAGCTCTAGGCCACTTGGCTTGGGAGCCTGTGTCCTCCAAGCGCCGGCTTGTTTCCCCAGGTCAGTAAGAAGATGTATGCCATGGGCTGCTACGAGATCTCCCTGGGGGACACCATCGGCGTGGGCACCCCTGGACTCATGAAGGAGATGCTGTCTGCTGTCATGCACGAGGTGCCGGTGTCTGCCCTCGCCGTCCACTGTCATGACACCTACGGCCAGGCCCTGGCCAACACCTTGATGGCCCTGCAGGTAATCCGGGCATGTCCTAGGAGAAAGGCACGTGTCCATTCTCATGATGGATACAGACATGTGGTCCTGCCCCAGAAGTTCTTACATCTGTGTGTTAGGGGCAACCGTGAAGGGGTTAGGTGGTCATCCTAACGCATTATGACAGATGCCACGAAGGGAGGAAGCACGGGGCGGAGGGAGGTGCCTGTCCCGGTTGGGAGGGTAGGGGAGTGCTGCCAGAAGAGGCCTGAGCGAGGCCTGAAGATCACGGAGGAGTTCAGGAGCTGAGCAGGGGAAGCAGAAAGGCGGCTCGGCAGCACTGCCCGGCAAGGCCGAGGCAGGGCTCAGGGAGGACTCGTGGGCCCTGGCCCTGGGGTAGCTAGCGTGCCAGGTAGGGAGTGTGCAAACACGTCTCTGTGCGGAGCAGCAGGCCGGGCCAGGCAGTCGGGCGCCAGCAGTGGGCACTCAGAGGGCGAGGCTTTACTGCCACTTCCCGGAGGCTGGACTGAGACCTGAGATCGGGCTCCCCTTGAGGTTTGCTTCTCCTGGGCTGGCTGCCTGCCCCGAAGAAGGGAAGCTCTCAGGATCTCTCCACCGCTGCCTTGCAGTAGCATTAGTCTGATTCCAGCCTGTTGTCTTCAGGTTCTAGAGCAATCTCAGGCCACTTCTTTCTCCCCACTCTCAAGTTACCTCCTGTAGGCCAGTGTCTCAGGTGATTCTATTACTTTCTGGGTCTATTTTCTCAAGGGTGGCGGTTGTCAAGGGTGAGGTCTGTTAGAGCTCTAAGAAGAGACAAGAAAGTCAAACGTAACAAAACACCAAACACAAACCATCCAGGAGAGTGGGAGGTGCCTGACCTAGGGAAGTGGCTGGGTCCCTGGGGTCAGACAGCAGCCCTGGGGGGGGGGGGGGGCAGTGCACAACTGAACAGCAGTAAACAACAGGGGTGTGAGATCTCAACAGTGGGCGGGGCTTGCTTTAGGTCAGTGATCGGGAAGGGCCTCTGAGGAGGTGGCTGGTAGGCTGAGGCCTTCAGGGTGAGGAGGAACCTTGAAACCACTGCAGGGCCCGAGGGTCCTAATCCTGCAGAGCGAACAGTGTCTGCCCGGAGACTCGCGCTGCTCCTGGAGCTGAAGAGAAACACTTTCAGTGGGGCTTTCACTCGAACAGACCACAAACCCGAGGAATGGATGACTGGCAGTGGCATTTCAGGCAGCAGACAACTGGGGGGTTTCTAAGGACCAGCTTGGTAGGCTCTGGTCCCACAGTCAGAGCCATGTGTCACCATCCTCATGTTTCCAGATGGGAGTGAGCGTCGTGGACTCTTCCGTGGCGGGACTCGGAGGCTGTCCCTATGCACAGGGGGCGTCGGGAAACCTGGCCACCGAGGACTTGGTCTATATGCTGGCGGGCTTGGGCATTCACACGGTAAGCCTGTCCGTCCCCTGTCATGACAGCCCTGAACTAACTAGGCTCTGCCTGAAGCCAGGGGACAGAAGCTGCCGGGATCGTTTAGGGTTGTTATTTCGGGGGGAAGGGGAGCAGTTAATAGGGGAAGGGTGCCAGGGGGTTATTGTGTGTTTTTGAGAGAGCAGAGTGTGGGTGATGGAGGCCTTGAGAAGGCCAGGCTCTCCCTCGATTCCCTGCTTTACTTTAGAGAGGCACCAGGAAGTAAGGGGAGTGCCCCAAAAGGGGCGAGGTGCATAACCTGACACGAGTCAGTCCTCTAGACTTTGTTCCCTGTCAGATGAGGGCAGTGGGATGCGGTGGCCCCCAGGGCACTCAGAGTCAGTAGGGGCACTCTGTAAATTGGAAGCATAGCGCCTGTGCTTTAGGCTCAGAAGTCACTGGGTTTAAAACCTGGTTCTGCCACTCACAGGCTGTGTGACCTGACAAAACACTTTACCTCTCAGGGCCTAAGAAATGGGGTAGCAACAACACCTGTCTCATAGGCCGGTATGCGGATGAACTAGGGAAATGTAGGATGCTTAGCCCAGAGCTGAGCACATAGTGCACGTGAGTGAACAGGAGCTGCTGTTGCGAACAGCGGGTTTCCGGAGTGGCCCTTCCAGGTGGTGCTCACGTCCCTCTGCCTCCCAGTTCATCGCTGCGGTGTGCCATGTTTGACCCTGCAGGCCAGGCCCTGGAGATGGAGCACCGGACAAGACTGATGGGGTCCCTTTTGTGGTGGGGGCACTACTAACCATTACACGGGCTGAGGCATCCTGTATCAGGGGAGTCAGAGGGGGACCCAGGGGCCAGAAGGACACGGCCTCAGAGACAGCTAGCTGGTGTCCCCCCACCCCCCGTCGCAGGAACAAGCCCTTTGTCTTCACCCTGACTCTTTCAGTGCCACAGCTGTCCATCAGTGTGCCGTATCCCGGGTGTGGGGGTGCATATCATGACTTCCTTCTTCCTCCTTGTTTCTCAAAGGGCGTGAACCTCCAGAAGCTCCTGGAAGCTGGAACCTTTATATGTCAAGTCCTTAACAGAAAAACCGGTTCCAAAGTGGCTCAGGCTACCTGTAAACTGTGAGCCCCTTGCCCACCAGAAGCTCGGGGACTGTGTGGGACGGGGGCACGCCTGGATGATTCACTGACGGGCTCGTGGAAATGGGAACAAAATGGACAGGAATGGGCACCTCACCACCAGCCCTGCACACAGCTCTCTCCTGGTAGAAGGGCGAGGGACAGGAGTTCCTTGGCCTCAGGCCCTCCCTGCCAGACCTGAGTAGGACTAAGAGGCTTGGGGGCCTCGGGGCCTCCCTTTACCGTGGACCCAACAGCCCAGGAGTTGAATCCCTGGGGCCACTTGGGAACCCAGTTCCCTGGCTTGGGCTGATCCTCAGGTCTTTTCTCTGGATGAAATCTGACAGGTGACTGCACAGCTCAACCCAGCTGTGGCCTTGGTGCCACTGCTGTCTGACTTCAGAGGGCAAAAGGGCATGGAGGGGTTTTTCCCCAAGCTGGCAGAGGGCATTTGCTGAAGGGGTGAAGGCTCAGTTCTGTGTTGGCCACCTGCCAACCCTAGCCTCTATGGAAAACCACTCTGAACATGATTTTTTAAAACAGCTGTGTAATTAAAAGTTTAATGATGCTGAACCATTCCAGGATCCTGCAGATATGTGTATATTTGAGGGGGCGTGGGGGATAAAACGTCTTTATTTGCACTCTGAGAGGTAAACGCAGACTATTCATCTCTGGATTCATTCTCCGTTTCCCCACCTGACCCCCAAATCTACAGTGACTGGAAACTGGTGGCTTTGGGCTTGCTCAGGGCTGGCCAGAATGCCCTGAGAAGGCTGTTTCTGAGGCCCTTGGCTCTGACCAGGGCTGCTGCACAGGCTCTCTCGCAGGCAGCAGGGGCCATCTGCTCCTCTGGGTCTGGGCTGGAGCCGGTGTGCTTGGCTCTTTGTATGTCAGGCTCTGCCAGCCGTCAGTCGTCCTTGGCCATTCCAGGTTTGGGGAAACACTTGTGCATTTATTTACTGGCTCTGGTTTCATCACACAGTATGACATGCCTTTTTATACACATCATTCCCTAGCCATACCTTTATATTAAACTGAAACATGACCATTTTCTAATCCACTGTGGTAGGCAGGGTGCAGGCAAACCATTCTCAGCTCTGTGTGAAGGCTGAGCGCAATCGGCACGGAGTTCCTACTTTAGCTTCCAGTTCTTGGGTAGGTTTTGGAGCTAGACTCCCCAGCACCTGCCGCTTCTAAGGCAACGCACACCGTTCCCTTCGATCAGCGCCGCCCCTTAAAACTGCCTTCGTTCCACACGGTTGTGTGTTCATGCAAGGCTCACCCTGAAGAAAGGGTTTAGCAGATACAAAAAGCTTGAAAAACCTGCGGGTGAGCTAGGAGCCCCATCTCCCGGGGCGCTGCTCTCTGCCTGTTTCCAGGGGTCGGTACGAGCGCTCGATCGTGGCGCGGAAACCCGGAGCACTCTCCATTAGAACGGATCGCCGCCTCTCGGCTCCGGCTCCGAGGCCCGAGTCTGTCCGCGTCTTCTTTCTGCGGGCTACCTTGGCACTGGACTGTGCTGCCCACTGCTGGTCTTTGTAGGGGCGCGCTCTTCAATCCCCAGCTCGTTTTGTCCTCCCGGCGCCCCGTACTGCCGTCTCCCCGAGTGACGCGTCCCCTGAGGGCGTGAGAGGGCGGTACCTTGCGGGCTGTCTGCTCTTAAAGGGACCGAGGCGCCGGAGGCGGCAACGCTAGAGGCAGCGTGGGACGGGCAGTCCCTATCAGGTTCGGGAAGGGAATGTGGGGCCGGACTGTCGGGCTAGCGAGGGGCCGGGTGGTCTACTGGGAGCGGGCGAGAGTTTTGGGGGCCGGGCTGTGTTCTGGGCAGAGTATCGCCAGGGCGGACTGCTCCAGCTGCCACGGCTGGGGCGGCCCGGGGTCATTCATTCCAAGTCCAGGGACGCGTTGCGCGGCCCCCTTCTAGCCACGACCCGAGACCCAGCGCCCCCTCCCACCCATTATGCAGACTGGAAAAACCGAGGAGGCGACAGCTGGGGCCCGGGGCGGGTTCGCTTCACCAACCTTCCTGCCTCGCAGGGCACCCTCGGCGACCACTTTCTGGAGATCCGCACAGTGCGTGGACCTCAGAGGGATGGGGGTAGGAGAGGCTTCGACATCCGGAGCAGAGTCCAGCGGGAAGCAGCTGGGGGAAGGGTGAACCGCTTGGGTTAGGGGCGGGCCTGGGAGCCTGGAGGTCCTGATTCTAGTCCACATATCACTAACTGTGTGACAGCAGGCAAATTACTTTAGTCTAACTTTAGTACTCTGGTCTGTAAAGTGCCAGTGATAATACCTGCCTCATCAGGATACTGGGAGAATTCAGGAAAATAATGCAAAAGTGCCCGGTACACCGAGGGCGCTCCGCCAAATTGGTTGGAGCTGGATGAACCCTGGAGGCAATTGAGGCAGCCTGGAGGAGAGCAGCTTCTAGCAGGGCCGCCCCGAATGAAAGAACTCAGTGTTTGGGGCTTCCACCCCCTCCCCCCACTGCCCGCGGAGTTTGTTCAAGGCGGGGTGCACACCTGGCAGTGGACTAGGCGCCAGGGCCACGTCTACACCGGCCAGCTCAGTGCTGCCTAAAGTTGGGCGGTATCCTAAGCTCCAAACTGCGAGTGCTCCTACTGGGCCAGGCAGGGGCAGAGGCTTGGCCAGCCTGGCTGACCTGGGTCGGGTGGGGCCAATGCCAGGAAAGCAGCGCTGCAGCCTCAGAGCTGGGCTCAGCCTGCCTGGCAAAGGACCCCACCCTGAGGCTGGCTGGTAAGTTTCCTGCTTCCTCCCATTTGACCCTGAAGGGAGAGTAAGGCAGGGGTGTTGTGTACAGCTGGAGCCCAGGAGCCGGTTTATACCTAGTGGCAGAGGGACTGGGAAGGCCTGAGTCTGAGCAGGCAGAATCCCTTCCTGGGCGCTTCGAGTTCCAGTGCTGCTGCCATATCGGCTTCTGCCCAGACTGTTCAGTTCGCAGACTCCTTGGGGAAGAACTGTGGAGCCTTAGATTCCACCTTCCCAACCCAGGGCCAGTTAGGTCTAGAAAACACAGCACGTATGTCAGTCTCCCCACCTGTACCATGTGACAGGCCTTTAAAATCACCTCATTTAACTCTTACACTATCACATGGCATTTGTACAGTAAGTCCCATGTTATAGAGATGGAAACTGAGGCAAAGAGAAGGTAAGTGATCTCTAAGGCCAGAAAGTGATGGTATCCAAGCTTGGACCAGGGCTGACCTCAGAGCCGCCCTGTTAACTGGGACACACCACTGCCTCCCTCCGAGGCCAGATTTCTGTTGGGGGGAGGCCCTGAGTGGCCAGTGCGAGCCACCTCTGAGACTCTGTGTCCTGGACCAGGTGCGATGGCAGAGAAGGTGCTGGTAACGGGTGGGGCTGGCTACATTGGCAGCCACACAGTGTTGGAGCTGCTGGAGGCGGGCTATTCGCCTGTGGTCATCGACAACTTCCATAATGCCATCCGTGGTGAGTGCGGGGGTGGGCCTGGGGCTTCTGGGAGGGTCGGAAGGAAAACCTTGGGTTCCACCTTCAGGGGGTGTGTATCTTGGCTAGTCCCCAGGACCCCACCTCCTCTGACTGTGATGGCCTCCGTGTGCCCAACCAGGAGGGGGTTCCATGCCTGAGAGCCTGCAGAGAGTTCAGGAGCTGACAGGCCGCTCTTTGGAGTTTGAGGAGATGGACATCTTGGACCAGGCAGCCCTGGAACGTCTCTTCAAGAAGGTGGGGAGCTGGCAGGCAGGCATAGGGCACTGCCATGGGCCAGGGCCTGTGCAGCAGCGTCTGACCCGGTTTTGTGCCTGCAGCACAGCTTTACGGCAGTCATCCACTTTGCGGGACTCAAGGCTGTGGGCGAGTCAGTGCAGAAGCCTCTGGACTATTACAGAGTTAACCTGACAGGAACCATCCAGCTCCTGGAGGTGAGATGTGGGGCAAGGACACAGGCACTGGGAGGGCCCCTTGCCAGGTGGGCAGTGCCAAACACAGTGAGTAAGGGGGTCAGGTCAGGCAGGGCCCAAAGTTGTATCACCTTGGACACATGTCTTTCTTTACCTCTCAGCCTCGGTCTCCCCATCTGTAAATGGGAGTGCCCGTACCTCGGCCCCACCCACCGGTGAAGGAGTAAGGGGCTGGGAATAACACGGGAGGCAGAGGCCACTGACACCTCCCCCCCACGGCCAGATCATGAGAGCCCACGGAGTGAAGAGCCTGGTATTCAGCAGCTCAGCCACTGTGTATGGGAACCCCCAGTACCTGCCCCTGGACGAGGCCCACCCCACGGGTGGCTGTACCAACCCCTACGGCAAATCCAAGTTCTTCATCGAGGAAATGATCCGGGACCTGTGCCAGGCAGACAAGGTGAGGGAACCCAGCCCTGGCTCTGCCCCCATGAATCCGAGGATGGGATCCGAGGCAACCCCCACGGAGGAAGCTAGGGTTCAGGAAGCTGCAGCAACTGCCCAAGGTCACAGCGCCTGGGGGAGGACCCAGTCCTCTGGCCCTGTTGTAGGGATAGACAACAGGCATGGGGACGAGAGGTAAAGGGCTCCGGGTTGAGTTGGGACACAGCCTGCACCCTCGCCCCGCCCCCTGACCTGTGTCCCACAGACCTGGAACGCGGTGCTGCTGCGCTACTTCAACCCCACAGGCGCCCACGCCTCGGGCCGCATTGGTGAGGATCCTCAGGGCATCCCCAACAACCTCATGCCCTATGTCTCCCAGGTAAGGAAGAAGGGGAGGGACGGGGGTTGCCCTAGGTTTTAAGGGTACAGCTGGTGCTGAGGGCCTGGGAAGAGCTGACCTGACCTCCACCCCAGGTGGCGATTGGGCGACGGGAAGCACTGAATGTCTTTGGCAATGACTATGACACAGAGGATGGCACAGGTGAGCCTAGGATGAGGGTCCAGGAGTGGGAGCCGCGAGGGAGACTGAGGTGGCATAGACTATACTGAGCCCTCCCACCCAACCAACAACTCTTCCGCAGGCGTCCGGGATTACATCCACGTGGTGGATCTGGCCAAGGGCCACATCGCGGCCCTGAGGAAACTGAAAGAGCAGTGTGGCTGCCGGGTAGGGAGAGAAAGGAGAGCGAGGGAAGGGAGGTGGAGTTCTGGGAAAATGGGGCCCAAAGCAGTGGTTAGGTCAGCCCCTTCCACAGCACCTGTTCTCTCCCGGGCAGATCTACAACCTGGGAACGGGCACGGGCTATTCGGTGCTGCAGATGGTCCACGCCATGGAGAAGGCCTCCGGGAGGAAGGTGGGCGTCTGTGCTGTTCCGCGTTGTCCCACTCCCCTGACTCCCGGCAAGGAGACCGGGCCCCTCCCACTAGCCTACCTGAGGGGGCGCTGCCACTGCTACTCAGCCTGCCTTAGCGCCGTGTGCCTGCACGAGATCCGGCCCTGGTCTCCATGCCTTGAGGGTCTAGTCAGAAGCTGGCTGGGTGAGGCCACAGCTGGCTCAGCCAAGCTACGACTGTCCCCTCTCTTGCAGATCCCATACAAGGTGGTGGCACGGCGGGAAGGGGACGTGGCTGCCTGTTACGCCGACCCGAGCCTGGCCCTCCGGGAGCTGGGCTGGACAGCAGCCTTAGGGCTGGACAGGATGTGTGAGTGCTAGCCCGACCCCCGGGAGACAGCCAGGGGCCAGGAGGGAATGGCTGGGCCTGGATGTGCCCCGAGGTGGTGGCGGCCCTGCATTCGTATGCATCCTGACCACACGCCTCACCCTATCACAGGTGAGGATCTATGGCGCTGGCAGAAGCAGAACCCCTCAGGCTTCAGCACGCAGGTCTGACACCCTCTCCTACCACAAACCAGAAAACAGAAACAACTGCCTGCTCGCCAGCATCTGGCAAGAACGCAGGGGCCTCAGCGCCTGCCCTACCTCAAACCCCAGCAGGCCTGTTCAGCCCACAGGCATGAGGCCACGGGCTCCACGGATCAGGAGGCAGGGGTCTCTGACTCTTCGCCTCTGCAGGGTCTGGGAACACAGGGCCCACCAACATCACCGAGAAGCGAGTGGGGGAGGTGGGGCCCTGAGACGACAACACCCTGCTCCCAGGCACTAATTTATACTGTTACGAAGGCACTCTCCAAAATATTTAAAATAAAAGGTTTTCTTATGCTAGAGCATTTCCTCACACGTGGTCTCTCCCTACCCCTTGGATAGAACCAGCCAGGCCTGAGAGTTGAAGCAATTTCTTTAATTTTATCGGAATCCAGGACACGACAAGAAAAACACCCAAACCCACATGGAGACAGAAGACGAGACACAACTCCTCCCCCACCTCCCCTGGCCCTAGAGTGGGGACAACGTGAGGGCGACACCACTGGGGGAGACCTTGAGCCTCGGTCCAGCCCTGCAGGCTCCAGGCCTGCGGGGAAGGCGGCAGGGAGACAGGGTCCAGCCCCCGAGTCAGAAAGGGCTGAAGGACGGCCCCCTCCTCGGACTCTGCCCCCTCGCCAACACTGCCCAGGGGCAGGCAGCCCACAGCAGCGAGGGGGCCTGGGGTCACAGACACATTCATGATTGAGAAGCAGCTGGAGTGGAGGCGGGAGAGACATACGATTATCTTGGGCAGAATCAGCTGGGAGGGGGTAGATGGGGCCTGGGAGGGCCCCTTGGGCCAAACCCTGAGGTCACAGGAGGGGGCCCAAAGCGGGGCTAGTGAGTGAGGTCCTGAGTGAGTGGGTCAGCGGCTGGGCCCCTTCTCCCGCTGCCTACAACCCCTCCAATACTGCTGCCGGGGGCCCACCTCCAGGGCAATGGAGAAGAAAGCAGCCCAACCCCTACTGCAGGCAGCCAGGCGACTACAGCCAGGAAGGACGGCCTGGCTAGGCCTCGGCCTACCTGCCCCAGAGGCCTGTGGGAAGAGGATAGGTCAGGGAAGGTGGGGACAGGGGCTCGACCGGCTCAGATCCAAGATGGTGCCACGCGTGCTAGGTCCCCTATGAGCTGGGGGAACTGCGCTGGGGGCCAGCAACTCTGGTTAGACGGGAGGCAGGAGCTTCTCAAGGAACTCCTTCACAGCTGCCATCTCCTGGAAGAAGGGGGGACTGTGAGAGGCTCCTGGTTGGAGGGAGGAAGAAGAGGGGCAGGAGCAGGAAGGGGTCTTTCACCACTGACCTGAGGACAGGAGCCGTGCATGACACCTGGGTAAGTCTTGAACTGGACCCTTGCAGGTGTGACAACGGACCGGAGCTTCTCGGCCGTCAGAGCCCCAAACCGTACGGGAACCATGGGGTCCAGCTCCCCGTGGCACTGAAGGATGGCCAGGTCCTTGGCACTGCCGTTGGCTGCCTGCGGGTCAGACACGACTCAGAGGGCAACACCAGTGCGTGAGCACACAATTCCCAGGCCACAAGGAGACTCAAAGGGCAGGAGAGGGGTCACGGAGATGCTCACCTGGGGGAAGGCCCGGTGCAGAGGCAGCCAACAGCTCAACGCCACGATGCCAGCCAGAGGGTGGGGGCAGGTGAGGGCGGTGTAGAGGGACAGGGCCCCACCCTGGAGGGCGGGGACGATGAGAAGTCAGTCAAGAGGGCACAGCTCACCTACCCACCCCCCACCGCCCTCTCTCCCCCCTCACCTGGGAAAAGCCTCCCAGGACAATCCGATTGGCAGGGATCCCATTCTTCATTTCGTGCTCAATCAAGGCCTTTACTGGAGGGGAGGGGGGAGAATGGGTGGGGGAAGCTGCTAGAGGGGCCCCAGGAAGAGAGCAGAGGAAGGTACCGCCCAACGTTTTCCTGGAGGGTGGGGGCGGGAGGAGGGAGCACGCTGAGGAGGAGCTGGGGCCTTACTATTCTCTGCTGCTTTCTTGATGCCAGCCTCGTCCTCAGGGGCATCCGGACTCAGCCCCATCAGGTCAAACCTGGGAGACAGAGGCACTGGCAGCTACAGGAAGACCCCAGCCAGCCCCCTAGAGCTCCCTCAGCTCCCATTCCACCACTCCCCAAACTCACCAGGAGGGCATCACCATCTTCATGTTGAGTGTCACGGGGATCCGAGGCCTGGGGAAGACAGCAACAAGGGCCATCATGCTCCAGAGGGACGAGGAAGCCATAGCAGTGAGCCCAGGAGGGGGCAGAGCAGCCCCTAGGGGCCCCTCCCTCCTCTGCCCCCTCCAGGCAGGCAGTGACTGTGTTTAAGGTGTTGCCAGGCAACCTGCCACGTGGGGCTGGAAGCTGTGGTTAAAGCATCAGCAGTAGAGATAAGAGAAGCACAGCCTAGCACTCAGCTCGCCAGGATTCCAGCTCAGCCGGTGAGTATTTGGGGAAGGGGAACAGGGGGTCCTGGTTCTAGAAGGACTCAGGTCTAGGAGACTTTGGGCTGGGGCTGGACCCCATTCCTGGGGGCTCCACAGGAGTAAAGGCTGAAAATGACACTTCTGACTGCCCTGGGCCCAGGCCCCAGGATGCAGCTGGCAGGAGAGAATAGACATGGGACCACCAGATCACCACCCCCACATCTGATTCCCATCCTCAGCCCCTCCGTCGCTAGGGTGACACTCACGCATGGGGACAGATGTACTTGACGTGAGGGAGCCGGATGGTGGAGAGGGCGTCAGCCCAACTGTGCCTGTAGGAGGGAAGGGAGAAAAGGCACCCTTGTGGAGAGGAAGAAAAGGCGGGCACAGGCCTCGCCAGCCCTGCCCACTGGGCCAGGCCCCACCTCCCAGGGAACACCCACTCCCCAGCTCACTCACCCTGTGTCTCCAAGTCCATGTAAAAAAATAACCTTGGAGAGAACGAAAGATGGAGAAATGGAGAAGAGGGCCACCATCACCATCTTGCTGTAATTTCCCACTGTCCTCTAACTTCTGGCCACCCCTCTCTGTTCCCCACGGATGGACGTGGGGGGAACTCAGGTAGCAGGCGAACAGGTCATTATCCACCCCCCACCCGCTGGCTCTAGGCCGCTCCCTTCTCATCACTACCACAACCATTTTTCCCATACTCCTCTGGCCAGTTCCCCCGCTGGCCTGGGGGCCTCTGTGGGTGGGCGAGGACCCTTACCGCAGCCGTTTCCCGCTCAGCTCCAGACACAGTGGCAGCATCGGTGAGCAGGGGCACAGACATGGTGTTACCACACATACACTGCAGGGCTCCAGGCTGGGGCCTGTGCAAGTTCAGGGGACTGGTCAAGGGCAAGCCGGGGCAGGGGAGAGGCTCCTGACACAAGGGCAGAGCCTCAAACCCAGGGCCCTCGCAGCACCCCAGGTTTTGTCCCGGGCACACAGAAAAGGAAGACAAGAAATCCCCAGCTACAGCAAGTAGAAAGTTTGCCTCTGTTCTAGAGATGAGAAGCAGAGGCTCCCCCTCTAGTGCCCCTGGTACTGGTCACCACACAGCCTGAACTTGCTGGAAATGGGCAAAAGGCAGGGTTTAGGGGCTGTGGGGGAAGGGAGCCAGGACGTCCCCTGCAGCCTTCCCCTCACCTAAGCAGGCAGCTGCCTCCTGCCAGCTCTCTAATCTCGCCCCTTCTCTTGAGCCTCCGGGTCCCTTCCTCCCCAAATCCCAGCCCTACCGGGAAATGAAGGGGAGAAAAATGGCAGAGAAATAAGCTTCCAGCTTCTACTCCCCCATCCCCACCCCACACACATTTTCTCCAACTTCTCACCCATCCAGCCCCCACCCAGCCTTCATAGCAGTCTCTGGCCCAGCCATTCCCAGAGCCCCTGGGCTGCCCGTGTCCGCCTCAGTGGGACTTCAAATGGGTCCCCCAGCTTGACCACACTCTGGGACACCCAAACACACAAAAGAATGTCAGGCTGGCTGGCTCCTCACCATCCTTAGCATCCTTCAAACTACCCAGAAGCTTCTGCTACCTGCCAGTAAGTGCCTACCCTTCCCAGCAGCTCCCACCCTCCCAACTAGCTTCCTCTTTCCATTTCTGATCCCGAGTGCACCTCTCCACAGTGGGACCCCTCACCTCTGACCCTAGGGTCCCTCTTCCTGCAAGAGAATACACTTTTCTTTCTAAGCTGGGATTCCTTTCCTTCCCTACTGAGCGATTTCCACCTCTCACCCGAGTTCCCCACTTCACGGGGAGTGGAACCCCACCCTGACCTAGGGTCTCCCTCCTCATCACAAAAACTTTCCACCCGACCCAGGGTCTCCCACTCCCTATAATGGAAACTTCTGTTCTAAGGGCCGCCCCTCCCTACGGTGACATTTTCTACCTTGACCCAGGACCCGCTCCTGCCCACCGAGTGGCAGTCTACCTTCGACCCTGGGGAGCCCCCGCCCCACAATGAGATCTTCCAGTTTCGATCCAAAAAGTCCCTCTCATCACATCCGGACCCCCACTTCTTACCCCTCTTTACGCCCAAAGTCCCCAAGACTGGCCAGCGCCTCCTTACACCTCACTCCCCACCCCCCCCCCACCTCTCACAATTGCGGTTCCCCCTCCCCATTCGCCGGGACCCTCGTTGTGGTCCAGTCTCTCCCAGGGCCCTTGCTCTGCCTGCGGGTGGGGAACCACGGTACCTTCACTCCGTGCGGCTTTCGAGACCTCTCGGGCGATTCTCCTCTTTCTCCGGCACAGACACACTCTTCCCCCTCCACCGCCCCCGCCGGAACTTCCGTTCGAGTCCCGGGAACCCAGCCATCGCGCTACCGGAAGTGGCCTGGCCAGCGGTACGGAACCCGGAAGGGGGCTTCGGGCTCTCACCAGATAGGAGTTGCCATGTTGGATACTGTGGGGCCACTCCCCATAATTAAGCCCCAGAGTCACCTGCAAAATTCAGACAGTGCATCCGAGATTCCCATTTGCTGCCACCGCCCACGCCCCTCCTGGAGAAAGGCTATCCGGAGCGAGAGGCATTACTCACAAGAGCATGAAGTTTCCCACCTTCCCATCCTCATGATTAGGGTCTTGGGTATCCACCATTGGCTTTCATGCCCTAACCCAGGGTCATGGATGGAATCCTTAAAGATCCCTAGAGACCATCTACTCCTCCAGCCTTATTTTAAAGTTGAGGAAACAGGCCCAGGGAGGGGAAGTAAACAGCAATCTCAGGATTACACTGTAATGCTACCTCTCTGGACCTGCTTTCTGGGCTATAAAATGGTGATAATAACCACCATGCCTACTTCACAGCTTTGCTGGTAGGCGCAAATGAGGT